CGTGGGATGATATAGAGATTAAGCCCTGAAGGACAACAAACAAATTGATAACAAAAGGAATCATCTGTATTTGTTGTTTCGATTCAGATCTCATCATGTTTGGCGGATGAATTAATGTACATAATCTGTCCCTAATTTCGGTCATAACATTCTATACAGAGTTGAACCAGTGCTCAATGCTTAACTCTATAGTGAGATGTAAGGTGTGTGCACGTTTTGTTTTGTTTGTTTTTTCGGTGGCTTTCTTCTATCTGGGATCAAAATATTTACTATGATCTTTGAAGCTGTTCTTTTATTATCAGCTTCATGGTTATAAATATGAGCATTAAGCTCTTTTTTTCTCTTCATTGATAAGAGAATGTTTAATAAAAATTGCTTCTTCCGAGGGTTATGTTTCTCAGCCACAAGTTGTTCTTATGGAATGGAACAGGAATTGGACTCGACAGGCACAGGGGAAGAGATGAATGGGGTCTTTGTCGAGCTGGGTGGGGATGACTAGATTTGATGGAAGATTCTTGCAAAAATACATGATATGCTTTCATAATCTAGATGGAGTTCAATTAATGAAGAGAATAGTTCTAAACTACTAGTAATAAACGCTACCTGCTTCACGTTCACTCATGATTATTTTTTTTCACTCATATTTTTAATGCACTAATAATTAAATTCGATTTAGTGCTTGAAAGACTATACAATTCAAGTCAAATAGCATGTATTACCCCCTTGAAGAAAGGCTTCTCTAGGAATTTGATAAAGCAACAATATAAACTTTGAAATCTCACATTAATTTAAAATTCATGGACATGGCAATGAAGATCTTAGTCCTGATTTTCACCTCATTTGAAATTAAAATTGCTATAAGAAATCAATAAATACGAGTGTATCCTGATTATAATTAAACTCATCCTTCGGTTTTTGCTTATATGGGAAAGGCATGTATTATTTTTTCTTCCTTCCTTTTGGTTTGGTTTTACTGAGAGAACCAATATAAAGTCTGCCGTTCTTCTTTCTCCTTCCTTTGTCCCTTTGCTGAAGGTTTTTCCCAAGCCAAATAACAACAGAGATTAACATTTGGATGGTTGCTAGAAGGGCTAGCTAAATGATCACGTTAGAGATTCTAAGAAATCGATGTTGTTTAAGCTTGCTGTACAACAGTACTATTACAAAGTTCATCAATATGTTCTTTTCCTTAAAAAGTCGAATGTTCCACCCAACCATATGACATTCATTTTGAATAAATTAAGCTTGAATCCAGCTACTTTCTTACTTGAAATATTAGTATGCTTTTAAAAATTTATTTCCTATTTCTTCTTTAACATTGGGTTTAGTTTAAATTTAGTAGTTCGGCTAAATGCACATTAGTCTTCCTTCAATTCATTTGGATGATAAATAAAAGAAAGTAGTATTTTATAAGCAAAATGTTAATTAAAAAAGCTACCTATTAAAAGTGTTTACACGTTTTTTCCTGTATTTAGTTCTTTTCAAGTTTTTTTATTTGGTGACAAAGAATATAAATTTCTTTTGAAAGTAAAAAGATCTTTTTTAACCTCATCTATGTATTGTGAATTTGTGGTGATGAGACCCGTTGGTAGATATAGAAATTTAAAGGGCAAATTCCACTTTATCCCCCTGTGATTTAGCATTTTTTCATATAACCCCCCTATAGTTTCAAAAGCTATACATAACCCCCTTATGGTTTGGATTAAAGTGTTAAAGTAACGGAAATAGTCACTCGTAACGGCGTCATCTAAAATGTCAAAAATACCCTTATGTAAAATTAAAATTTATGTATTAACCAAGGGGGGTTATGTGTATATTTTGAAAATCATAAGGGGGTTATATGGTAAAGTATTAAATCATAAGGGGGTTATATGGTAAAATATAAAAATCATACGGGGTTAATGTGTCATGTATTTATAAGGGTAATTTCGACATTTTTAGAAGTTCCGTTACGAGTGACTATTTCCGTTACTTTGACACTTTAATCCAAACCATGAGGGGGTTATGTATAGCTTTTGAAACTATAGGGGAGTTATGTAAAAAAAAGGGTAAACCACAGGAGGGTAAAATGTAATTTACCCAAATTTAAATAACCCACAGCTCAAAAAATGCCTTTGTAATTGACTAGGAGAAGTCAAGATACTGTTGAATAATGTGGTTTACTGACCTCACTCCAATGAGCTAAGGTAATTAAAGGTATAATGTCACAATGCTAAAGGAAGCACGTTTTCACTAGCACTTACATTAAGGCGTCTAGTTAAAAAGCACGCCTTCCAACCTGTTGTTGGATCAATTGGCAGCTAGCGAATCATTGTAGAACCCAAAATTATCGAATTGGGAGATCAATTTCAAGCTCGCACAAATACATAAAAGGGAGGCTAATTTACACACATGAAGATGTGTAAGAAAAGGGGAATAAAATTCAACAATATATTATTAATTAATAAGAACAAGACTTTCATGTTTTCACTCTTCTTAACTAAATATAACAATTAGACGCCCTACTTATAATCGAAAACTGTAAGTCACAAATATTCAACAAATAACTTCAAACGATACTCAAGCTACTAAATCGACTGTAAATAAAAAAAAAATACACGGGAAATAACTTAAAACAATACTCAAAACTACCAAATTAGAAAAGTACTAAAAACTTAACCAAAAAAAATTGCTAGATTTGTGGTGATGACTTAACTTGACCAAAAAAAAACGACTGCTGGGTTTTCTAATTTTTTTTTTCTAGTAGGGAGGGATGGCATTTAAGAAGTAAGGAGGAATATAATGATTGAAATTCAAAACCTCTAAATTTTGAAATTTCAATCTTAATCACTAGATCAAAATCTCCTTGACAATAAACCGTTCTCTTTTAACTTTCCTAACTTACTTAAAAGACTTGAGTTGGATCTCATCAACATGTGTTCAATTAATACGTGGTGTGATTTCTAGCTATACTTTAATTATTTCTCACTTTATGCTATGTCGCTTTCTTTTTCAATAGCTGCAGGGGCAAAATTAGAGAAATCATACCTCCAGCTGCAATTGAAGGCGCAACTCTCTACACCACGCCTCTGCACTTGAAAGCAGATATTGGAAATTTGGAGCCTTACTAATTTCTTCTCCGCTAAGGAGACATTTTCCAAACTTCAAAAGGTAGTTGTCAAAACTACAGTCCAGTCTTTTGATTTTGGGATAATTTCAAAAAACATCCCCAAGATTTTGAACAATATCATTTAGCATCCCCAAAGTTTCAGAACTACGCTTACTTCCCCTACTACAGAGGTGGGATCCAAAGACACCAGTCTTCCCTACTCTTCTAGCGATTATTTAGGCACAAACGATCTGGAGAAAGAATCAAATTTGATGGACAAAAAAAAAAAAAATTCCTACAATTACTTTTGTACTAAAACCTCCACTTTTTGGTTTCTCCTATGTCAACATTATATTACAATATTCTCTATCCTAACACTTATTTAGGCTAAAAAAAAATGGAAGAAAAAAAATCGAGATCAATAGAAAATGGCTATTCTAACCATTACTTTTGCACTCGAACCACCTTCCCTAAACTTTCATTCCATGCTAATCTTGTGTTGCATTATCCTTGCAATTCTAATAATTATCTAGGCCAACTAATTAGAATAGAAAAAGATTGAAATTCATAAAAAATTGTGGTTTAACAATTAATCTTATACTTAAAAGCCCCTCCTTTCTCCCCCTTCCCCGCCCCGGCCCGACTTTTTTGGCCCTGCATTGCCAACCTTACATGAAATTAATCTAATTAATTTTGATAAATTTTAGGTAGAAAATTTTCCAAAAAAAAAAAAAAAATCGTATTCTAACCATTTCTTTGTTTGCATTTAAACCCCCCCACATTTTTAGTCCTTTTATGCCTACCCTCTATTATAAATCAACTTGGTAGAAAATTCAGCGTGGGTCAACACAAAAGTGCAGAGTTAGAATCAAAATATCATCTCTCTCCTTAAATGATAACTTTATGATTTTTTTTCTGACTTTGGGCTAACATGGTTAGAAAAAATTGGTTTTAGGAGAGATTGGTGATATTTTTGAAACCCGAGAAAAGGTCAGTGATACTATCAGACATCAAGGGTGAGGTTTCGAAATTATCTCTTTGATTTTTACAATAATACAAGCAATTGGTCGGAAATTTTAAAAAAAATCAAACTTATCATTTGAAAAGGGAAAATAAATTTGACAAGTCCAGTGCATGTTCATAAACGAGCATGTCTTTATTATCAGGACAAATATCACAAGAATAAAGGGCCAGGACCCCTTGCCTGCCTCACATACAGCAACATACATTGAAATTCCATGGTTATAATCCATTTAGGGAGAGTGAAGAAGATCATTAGTTTCCAGTCGAAGTGGTTCTAGCTCATATACGTGTGAATAACAAGCGATGAGATTAGATTTTTCTGAAAAGGCCAAATGAGAGTAATACAAAGATAAAACGAATGGCTCAGAATTGAATTACCTGTTTCCAAGAAACTCAACGTTCAATAATATGACTTTCGTTCGTTTGATATCTCCTTCCAAAGATACGATTTGCTAGTTGGTACCTATCGACAATTTACCAGCCCCATGCCGTTAATGTCAAGCTACCTTTCTGTAAAAGATAATCAGTTGCAAAGTTCATACGGCAACCCAAGAGGGTTAAACCGATAGTTCTAAATTTCCCTTGATCAAAGCCATAAATTTCAGGGTAGTCTGCTTCCTCATCTTTTGGAACTTGGATCCTTCTAATTCGTGTTCGTCAGCTTCTTACAGGAATAGAATTGGAGAGCATGCACAAAACACACCATACCTTACTGAACATCAAATAAGACTGAAACTTCGTGCGCGTTAAATGCATACCAATGAAGAAGAAGCCAAACTGCTTTTGGGAATTTATTTCACTGCTTAATGCCATTCTGACTACTGCAAGGGATTATAAAGACCAGAGAGACTCCAACCATTTGAGCTGAGTTGGAAATGACATTAACCTCGATGCCGGAGGAGCAACGTCTGTACCGCTCCACCAAGAATTATATAGAGAAAATAAAAGAAAGGACAAGAAGAAAAAGGCAAACATGTGGAACTGTGGCAGAACAAGACATTAGAGAGGTTAGAAGGAACAGGAGGGGCAACTGTTTTCGTACATATACGCACCTCCATTTCAGAATAGCACCACAATTTACAGATGAGAACCCAACAAATCCTAGAACATTAAAGCACCATCCATCGTACTTCAGTTTTCTAATAAAATTATCTCTAGTAATGTTGGTGGTCTCTTGTTATAAGGCCCCCATCCTTATGCCAGCATCCCTAACATTAGGGAGGTATCCATCATCAGCCCTTGAATAACTCACGTAGTAGAGCTCAGAGAGTACGCCAGTGAAAACAATCAATGCAGCCGCAGCCCCAAAGACCCCCTTCCTCAATGTCTCGCAGGAAGGAGGGTTCTGAGATAGAATAGTTCTGTATTTGGTATGGTAGGCATTTTTCACAGAACCAGCTAGCAAGCACACTTCAGCAATAAAAAAGGTCAACCTGAAAACCAAGAATGCACCGCCATTTATCCAAATCCAGGAAAAAATTCCATTTTCTTCATGAAAATAAAAGATGCAAGTCGGGTTGAGATCAAAGAGAGCTTTAATCAAATTGCTGGGGCTTGATTTGAAGACTAATGAGCTTGAATCAAGTTAAGTATCATTTTACAAGTGATTCACGTTTAAGCAATATAATTCCAAGCTAAAACATAACTTAATACAAAATTAAGCATGTCTATTCACACTTTCACTAATGAATTCCTTCTCTATTTTAGAGTGCAAATATTATGTGCTATGCACACATCATAAGCCCATTAGGGTTTCTTGTTGTTGAAACATAAAAAGTTGGGGGTTTATGAGAATGCGAAAGAAGACATCCGGGAAAATAACAGAAAGAAATATTACAGAACTCAAGCCAAACTTGAGTTTATTAAATATAAATCTGAGTTAGCTCAATCTCAATATTCAGGACAAAAAAAGACAAAGCGTGAAGTGGATGCTCAAGTCAGATTTGCTTAACCCACCCCTGACTGTGTCAGAGCTAGCCTGGGCTTGGCTTTAAGTGCAGCTTTCCAAGTAAAACTAACAACGCCATGGGTGAGAGTACAAAATGGCCATCTTAAGCAAACATGAAGAGCAGGAAGAGTAATATTTAACAGAACATACCAGCAGGTTATAAATAGGACAATTGCCCAGGTCCTTGGACGGCCAGGCCGTAGTGCCCTGCCACAACACAAGCATCGACTTGCAAACATCACAAGTAGTTGACTTGCCAGAAGGCACAGCAGTGACCCCACACCCAAGCCAGTCGCAACATCTGATTCATAGACGCAATAGTTTGAAGTAGCATCCGTGGTAGTTGTTGCCTGCCAGAAAAGTGAGGCACATGAATTGTTATAGTGCTCTAATTTGAGCCAATCTTTCTATAAAGAAATAACTGATTACTTCTCCAGTGCAATATCATTTACTGAGCTACAACAGTTGAGATATATAAGTAATTAAGCTTAATAGAAGTCCAATTCTAGATGTAAAGGTGTTTCTGGTATTCATTATCAATTTCTGGATAACAAGTTTGTGGAGTGTTTAAGGATATTTTGAGGCCAAAAAATGGGGGGAAAAAAGTTCAAATTTGATGCCTATTAATTGGCACTACAGTAAGCAAAGATAACTGCCTCAATTCAACACAATTATTCCAGCTTTATGCTATCACTCTTTTCAAGGATGGTCTGTTAAATAGCGACCTTAAGGTCATTCAAATGGTTAAAATGGTGCACCTTCCGAGACAATTAGTAATAAAAGCCACTGCTTATGATGCAAGCAATTTGATACTAGTTGCTATATTGGAGGATCTGATAAAAAACTTGTGTTCATGCACTACCATTTTAAAATTTAGATACTGAACAATTCAATTTTAGATTGCAAACTGTTTCTTGGTGAATTCCACAAATGTTTACAATTCCCCCTTTGCTTCTCTACATCAGCCTTGACTAAGGTAAATTTGGGAGTGACAGATGAGAGAAGAGTCAGGTTAAGAAATGAAGCAACTAAAGTGAGAGGCTGGCTTCAGGTAGACCATCCGGCTCTACAGGTCCCTTACCTGACTTTGATGAGGGCAATCCGAACATGCAGAGAAGAAATCAAACGCTTATCTCTTAAATTATTTCCGTCAATTAAGTCTTAAATCCTACCCTGCACAAAAGACTCCATGTGGATTTTTGAAAGGGCATTGACATGGCCTTCATGCCCAGGCAATTATAGTCACAACCATCACACTAGCACAAGCACTTTATACACAGTGAACAATAGTCAGAGAAGAGGACAATAATCTCCATCACTTCACTGATGCATGTTGTCTTCCAAGTTTTTTCACATTTCAGGCTTCCTATACACAATCACTGAATCTCTTCTTTGTAAAACCAGGGTTGGGGTGGCCAAAAAAACAGACTACAGTTTCCTGAATGGCTTAACCAGTTTGCACTCCTCCTATGGTAAACACCTATAAAGCATCGTTTGCAGTCATTCTTGCCTAATCCTTTTTTTTTTTTTAGGAAATTTCCCAACCATTGGAAGCCCCTACTGAACCTTGGTCTCAAGCCCTTCAATCTCTATAATATTTTCTCTTTTGATTTTCATTGAATCTTCAGTTATTGGGGCACATACGTTTCTATCTAATCAATGAATGCCCTTTCTATAGTTATATCAGAGACCAAAAAAAAAAAGCAGTTTTTACTTGGAGACCTTCATGAAATGTATACAATATGTTATGTGTCAGTTGGGTCTTACATAAATGACATCAAAATTTCTTATCACACTGAGACCTGCAGAACTAGAGACACACAAATCTACGATATGCAAAGACACGCAAAGACAATATGGAGATGAAGACCACAAACTATAATTTTTCTCATTAGGCCTACCGTGATTTATTGCTAGAATGCTCATGCTCAATACATATTTCCATTTCCATATCACAACCACAACACTGAACATGAATGGTTATACTGTAAAATTAGCTACCTGAATACCTAAAATGGGAAATTCATTAAACTCGAGAACAGCAGACAGACTTGGATTCTATTTCTGATGCACGTGAAAATTCAACAGGCCTTTATCAAAATTGCAATTAAATATTAGCAGATCACGAACCAAAACAAAATTGCAACTTTCTGCCAGCAGCTCTAACCAAAAACCTCAAGCTATAATCAAGAAAAAAGAGTTCCATCTACCACTCTAAATTGGCATAGAAGAAGGCAAATTAGAAGTCTGGGAATAAACTTACAGAAGCCCTTCTTTGCTCAGCAGCAACAGCAAGTGCAAAAGCTATCAAATCAATAATAAACACCACCAACAGCAAAAGCGTTGAAGAAGCCATCTTAACAATAGCCTATATCACTTCAATTCAATATCAACACCGCAAAAGTTAAACAAAAGTATTAAAAGCGTTACAGAAAAGCAAGCATAAAAAATCCCACAGGGGGCCAAAAAAGGAGAAAAAAAAAACCCACCAATATTACTAGGTGTCTGTGTGTCTGGAAATTGAAGAAGATATTATAGACCAGATATATACTGTGGACTGAGTACTTACCGGAAATAACCAAAAAAAATCTTTTGTTGATTAAGGAAGAAGTCAAGTAACGAAGGAGGAGGTTTCTTGGAATTCTGGGAGGGGAGGAGACTTTCTTGGATTCTTGTAAGAGCGGAATAAACTTAATGCACTTACCGCTTCAGTAGTAGTGTATTACTTGTGTCGTTTAATTATCAAATATTAATGATTCGATTGAATGAGCTATCGTTTAAACTTAGCGTGCTTCTTCAGGAGTCAGGATTTGAGGCCTTATGTGACTTCAGTTGGTCGCTTTTTATTTCCGAGAATTTTTAATGGGTGCCCCAAATGTACTATTTAGTACACTTAGACCCTGTTCCATAATTCAATTTAATACTTAAATTTAATGGTTCAGATCTTGTGTTTGATAATAAAAAATACAACATCATAAAAGTGATGTTAGGCTTGTTTGATCACAAAAAAATAGAATATACTTACTCAAAATAACAAGTGATAAGCTGTTTACTTATCACTTAATGTAGAATAGATTCAAATATTAATATTTCAATACCTAACAATTCAAAAACTTAACAGCTTCATATTTCAGAGTCCATATTTTAGTTTCACTTTTATCAAATGTTAGTTTTCATTTATTATTTAAATTCACAAAACTCCCATTAATTACTTCGCAATTACAGGAGGCACTATTTCAATTTTTTTTTAAAAAAAAAAAAGACTTAAAACCCTTCTCATACAATAGAAAAAATTTCATAAACAGCAAAATTTAGAGTGATGTATTCTAATTCACGAATATTGAAAATGCCACAGTGTCGACCAAAAATATTTCAAGTTAAAGATCAAGCAAGAATTAAATATCTATGCAGTTATTGGGGGGCTTGGAAGTTCCTCATCTATTGAAAATTATAAAATAGGCTGGAAAAAGTTTTAAGGATTTTAATCATGTCGCAAAATTACACATTCTAAACTTTTGTAAAATTCCTTTTCTTCTTTTATGTTCCCCCCTCTTAATTTTTGACATCTTACACTTAAAGTGAAAATTCACCATTAAGAACAAATGCCTCTTGAAAACAAAATATATATATATTCTTTCGACTTTTTAAGCTTCAAATGTTAAATTGAACACAATGTTTTCATTCTAATTTATTTGGGAAATTGTTGGATGAAAAATGAATGTTTTGTGGTTGCCTTAATTCTGCAATTGTCAATGCCACCATAATTTTGATTTTAACAAAAATTAAGCCAATCCCTTATGTACTTGTACGATTATTATAAACTTATGTACTACGTGTAAGAAATTATTGTGTTCGAGGACTCAAAATACAAAATTTTAGAAATGGAGGACTGAAAGTAATTTAGGAATGCATTTCCTACTAATATAACACAAAAGAACTAGTAGGGAAATAGAAATAAAGCTTGTAGTATATAATATCCATACTAAGAGAAAAGGATTAGCATGGCCCCTGCGCAAGGATGGCACGCACAAATCGAGAAATGGTCCAAATTTTTTGCCCTTCGGGGGTGGTTGAGGTTGCTGAAGATGGAGCCTTAGGTTCGTAGTTTGAACCTTGCTGCCAGCAAGTTGTGGAGGGTGGGATTGTCTAGGAGATCCACTCTGCGGGATACTCCTAAAAAAAAAAAAAGGATAAACACGGAGACTTTTCAAATTTTTTAAATATTTAGTTTTACCTCTCATTCTGCATAGCAAATAAATAGTACTACATGGAATTGCCATAGTGATGTGACCTGCTGATGGAGATTCTCGTAGTCATCCCTATCGACGAGGGAAAATCATCTTGCATGCAATGCAAACAAGTATATATACTGTCTGCTTTGTGAACACATGCATGTAGAGGTTGAAACTTTTTTATACTTTTTTATTTCTTGTGTAAAAAAAAAAAAATTGTAAGATAATTTTTTCCAATATTGTTCTCATCACGAAATGCTTTGGATGTTTTCAAGGACTAAGGCGGGTATACATGTAGTAGTTTTCGAACTAAATCTTTGTAGTTAAGACTATATATGAAGCAATAAATTGTCTTCTTGTGATATGACAAAGGCGCTTGGGAGTTGGGGGAAACTGAGCAAATTAAATAGGCTATAGATCTTGACGATCATCATGTTCATGTGACAAACCAACCAAAACCACCCATAAAGCATCAGCTCAAACAAATGAAGTAGGCACATGTGATTGAAGATCGATCATTGAACCAAAATGCAAATATTGCCATTCTTTTTGTTTTAGTAATTAGTCTGTAATTAGAGTGACCAAGTTTCATATTGTAGAAACTTTGCTGTCGAAGTTCCCAAATTCACACCTGTAATTTTTTTATTTTTTTTTATTTAAAGTTTTTGAGAACAAGGGTTTGTTCCAAATTTCGGTCGAAGTTTCTAAACTCACTCGCCTAGTTTATTATTATAAGTTTCTAAATTCACTCACCAAGTTTGTTATGCCCCCTTTTTTTTTGGGGCAAAATTGAGGATCTAATTTCAAACCCAGATGCAAGTTTCGTTTCTGACGCTTAAAACATCCTCTGAGCATATAATGAAGCGGATTCCCATCCGACCCTCTTATGTTGTAGCATCTAAATTTTGCAGATTCCTTAAACATATTAAAGATCCATGAAGTCGCCAATATTCTCAGTTTTCTTGAAATCACGAATGCTTTCAAATTCAATTGCTACTCTGTTTCATTTAAGTATTTTGCAGGTCAAGGGACCGACCATTGACTTGCATTCATCTCCAAAATTTCCTGAAAAGTTTCAATGCAAAGGCAACCATTTGATCCAACGGTGGTTCAACATCATGACAAAATGACGAATCTAAAAAAAAAAAAATCAAGTAGGATATCTATTTGCATAAAAAATGCATCAAATATTTGTTAAGACTGAAAAATAAAACATTCCACTATATACAAAATTTAAACAATATTAATGCATGAAAGTTTCCGACAATGAATTTAATAATCAAATGCAGGGCTCAAAATTCTTCTAAATGGGTGAGAAAAGAGAGGAGGTTTGGGAAAGACAATTTTAAATGGGCTAATTGAATTTGGTGGATTACTCAATTATATCAATTTAATAAATAAATATTATTGGATACCCTATTTATACCCATATATAAAAACTTAAGATATTCATATCCAACTATTCATGTGCAGGTACAAGTAAATTTAACTAAATAAATTTGTTTGCATATAATATGATATAGAATAAGAATAAGAATAGAGAAGCCATCGTGTCGGGAAAAAAAATAGTGACTCGCAAGTACAGCCTACAGGGGTCCAACAAAGGCGCTATATTAACTGTGTCCTCCGCTGTAATACAAGTAGCGATTCCATAACATCCATCTTCCTCAGATTTCTGAAAACAAACCATCAGGATTTGAGAGCTGTTATTTTGAATTAACCTCCCATCACAATTGTTTAAAAGATTTGATTAGACGTAATCGCAACCACCTTTTTGCAAAATATGGAGTCTAAATATCCAAATCCAAATATACCACCTCCAATCGGAGAAATCCATCATCAAACATACACTTGGTATCAAAATTTGGTTGTATTGACACATCAAAAACTTTTCATTAAACATTTATCAAATGCCAAACATGACAAAGGAACAACCTACAATATACAAAGAAAGAGTAAATCAGAATAATCCAGTTGCCAATTTCTTACAGGACAATCTCAGCTGTAAAAGCAACCTTTAATAAATCTTGACGAGTCTTTTCCATCACCAAAGATGGATGCGTACTCAAGGCAGCCCTATAATTACACCAGGACACACGCTCTTCATTTACAAAATCAGCATCTTTTTGGCACAATGACACCTAGATGCTTAAAAGAATTGATGATTTTCCCAGAAGTGATTGCTCTCCCTATAAAGGTTCAATGGACCCACTTTTTAGCCTCTCCATTCGTGCCTGAAGCCCAGATAATGCTTTCTCATCCATAGGAAGAACCCCTCCCGGCATTGAATTTTCAATACTCGCATGCTCAGTGGCGAGGGGAAACTGATTTGGCAGGGGATGACCTAAATTCCCATTCACAGCTATCACGGGCTTGTTTGCAGGCTCCTGATTTCCTGCAGCTGCAGCTAATTGAATGCTCTTCATTCTTTCCCTTATTGCATCTAATGCTCCACTTGTAACTGCAGTAACCATGATATTTCAGTCATATTTTACTCCAGAGTTCAGTAAAAGACAAGCAGAAGAGATATAAAGATGCAGTAATTTAACCTCCAGATGGTAATCTGTCGTTTCTTTGGTCCCCAGATTGATGCCTTGAATCTGACTGATCAAACCTGGGGCCCCTTGAAAGGGCAGGATTACTGCCTCGATCATCTTCAGCATATGATGGTGGCAAACTGAAGTTTGTAGCTTCTAATTTAGTGTTCATTGATTTTGCTTCACTAAGCGGATTAGTATTTACTGGTGACAAAGCACCAAATTTTGGGGAAGATAGGTTAAGTGCAGCAGGAGGAGGGGTCGACAAGGGTACGCTTGAAGGCGTCCTTCCTGCAGCCGTAGTCTTCTCCATCTGAAAGAGGAGTTTAACAGAAGGAAGGGGAAATCTCTGATTAACATACATACCACATAGATACGCACTTCACTAGAAACAGTTCAGTAGATACCTGTGCTAAACCATCTCTAATGTAAGTTCGAAATGCTTCACTAGCATTTTGCAGCTGAGCAAATATATCAACCTGAAATGAACAGGAATGAGAAGTTGATGCATAAAAATGGTAAATATTGTCCATGTATAAAAGAGATTACTTCAAGCATCTGGATGTTATTTATTGCTAACCTTGGGGTATAATTGCGTAATCCTGTACAGCTCATAAAGGCCGATGGTGCAAGTTTGCTTGTCACCAATTTTCTTGAATATTGCAGCAAGTTCTTGCTGCAAGAAGAAATGCAAATGATGAAAAGGAGAGAATGCATAGTCTACAATGACAGAGATGAGTCACATGACTCAAACACGGATTCAATACCTTCAATTGTGCATCTGCAGAATGGGTTGCAGGAGCTGGATTATTGGCCGTGGAATCTCCCCAATGAGTTTGGCCGACAGGCCCAGATGGGGATAACATTCTGGCTGCTGCCAAGGTCTAGCAATTCCCAAAATATATTTATCTCAATTTTGAATAAAGCACACAGGAACAAGATCAAGTATCAAATGTGAAATCTTGCAGTACCTGAAGGTTAAGATCTATGTAGGCAAGTATAATTGGTTGGGGTTCCATATCTATTGGAACCATTGAAAGGTGACCCTTTATGGCAGTTCCACGAAGCTTCACAAGTTCATGCAAGACAGTTTTGACCATGCGCAACGGTTTGTCATCAGCTCCCGCCCTTGTTTATAGAAGTAGAACCAACAAAAGTTTAAAATAACATGTGATTCATCTACATCTACTCAATAGCATGCAAGGATAGTAGCCACTTGATCTATTCAGACAAAGCAATCAAATAGAGGACTCAACTAAACAATCAAGTAGATACCTTTTGCGAATTTCTTCCATTCCTAGCTCTTGAAGGTATATGTGAATGCTTTGGAGAATGCGATCAAGGTCAACCTCATAAATAGTACTTTGCAAAACCTGTATCAGTGAAAAGCTCTTAAACATACAAAGCCGATGCTAATTGCTAAGCCAGATCGACAAAAGATGGAATAATTTCTAAGACACACAGATGCTAACTTTTAACTCTTATCATTTTGAGATAATAACGTGTCAAGCTGCAGTAGGAAATGCTTAAAGCAGATTACTGGGAAATGAATAAAAGAAACTGTAAATTTTCCTAGTCATATTCTAGCTGAAGCAACTTTTACTTGTGGCTTAAGTTGGCCATATGTGTGCACTTGCACATCATGTATCACAATTTAGTAAGTCAGACATATACACTTATCTTTATAGCTACCACTGATAAGTAGGGAAATAAGACAACCACAAGAATCACCTTTGTCAGTTTGATCAGACATTTGACAACCAAATCTGAAAATTTCTGATTTCTTATAGCAAGAGACTCGTTTATTGCCGGAGATGGCCACCTTGATGGGTCAAGAGGCCGCAAGAGATTAATGAGCACAACAAAGGATGACGTTCTGTCAGCATTATCCTGGAAGCACAACCATTAGTCAAACTTAGGAGTGAGCAAGGACATTGTCTCAAGAATATAAAAGAACAATTTGAATTTTGTAACAATGCTAATCGATTACGAAATTATTAGCGTACCAATATTTTGAGCATCAAGACATTCAAAGCTTTCAAAAGTTGACTGCCATCATCCATCCGAGGAACCCTTTCATCCAAAAGCCAAAGCAAAAGCTCAGTAATTAGGCTATCAAGAGTACTCTCCTTGACGGCATGGGCAAGTCTTCTGTTTTGAAATGTCTGTTAAAAGAAAAAAAGTATTGAAATTACATTTACGGTTAATAGATTGCTTGAATGGACCAAAATTAAAATTATTAAACCCAATGACAGCTGGGAAAAGTAAATGTCCACCATCTCTTCTTCATTTATTAGTACCAAAATGGTCAACTAACAATCAATAGTGATAAGCACCAACCTGCATGAGCGTGTTCAGGACATATTTACAAGATCTTGAGGAGGCGCCCGTCAGACTAAAGTCGAAAGTTTTAGCTACCTGCTAAGATCAAATAGTGTGAGCATTTTGAACCAATTTAAATCAACAAAAAGGGAACAACATTGTAAACGAAAGCATTTAAGTGTTGCCTTGTTTGCTAAGCATGAAACAAGTCTATCTGCATCTTTAACCACATCATCCATAGCACTGCCTTCGGGATCACTAGTGGCCTGGGCCAACTCATGGCACACAACTTTCATTCCTTCAACGGACTGCAAGAAATAATGCAAATTATCCAGTAAATCACAAAAAGGTAATGCGCAATTCCCACCCACATATGAATAACCAATTACTAACAGTTTTTACAAGAATGCACAACACGCCCAAGAATAGGGGCTGCATCTTTATACCAGGAAAAATATCACATTTTCTCTTTGGTGCTAGTCAAAATTAATTTAATATTTTTAACAAGAATCCACAACACACCTAACAACAGGATTTGATCAATCAATTCCATACCACAAACCGACCATAGAAAAAATACTTTTATCAGCTAGCCCACTTGTCACTTGAAACTAAAACCTCCATTCAAAGAGAGATCAAATTTCCACCCCATCAAAGTCTTGTCAATTTCTCAGTGGTCCAGCTGTTTGCTATAACCCTCTTATTAATTACCATAGTATGCAAGTCGAGAGCTATATCACAAGTCACAAATACATTAGCTTAGAAAAAAAAAACAGCGAATAAATGAATCCACATTGGAGTATCACCCAGCAGGACAACAACAATCCAGAAGCTGCAACATTAACCTAACATAGTAGGCTAAACAAAAGAGAACAAAAGAAAACCTGTTCTGGGGAACCATATGATATTATATCCAGAGCTTCATTCCAGTCCGTAGGACCAACTGTGCCAGGAACAGTCCGAGGGATTGGAGCTCTATCCATTTGAAACTCTAAATGACTATAACTGTCCCTAGAACAAAATACAGTTAATAACCTCACCTTGCATATTAAGATGAACAGCAACTTCAACAAAACCAGAAATCGATAAAAAGCTGCAACTTGTACAGAATTAATCACAAAAAGATATTGACAATGATGTAACTATAATGGCAATTACAACGAAGTAGTCAAGTACCTATTGGATAATGGGCCAACAGTAGACCTGGAAACTTCACCGCTTTGTTCTGCTAGATCCAATCTGTATAAGGCAGCAAACAAGTTGAAAGGTCTAAAAGGGACATTTGCAGAAACTAGGAAAGAGCAAGGCTGGAATACCAATACAAACTAACTCCAGGAACACAAGAGTTTTGTTAACAAAGGATGATGACGAGAATACATATGGTATGGAGCTTGTACAAGGTAAACATAAAAGAAAAGAAGCAGAAAAAATTTACAGAAAAGCGGGATAAAAGGAACTGCAGAAAACAGAATACTATAAAATTGGCTAAAGTATCGTCAGACTCCAATAGTTTTGCAACCGTAAAAGTGGGAAATAGAACTATAAAGCTGTTGCAAATAATGAGGAAGAAACAGAGAAGGAATAATGGTACAAGTTTCTGTCCATGAAGGAAGAAAATCACCTCGTACTCCTTTTAAATAGGTAGGATGGTTAACATGCAAACAACAAGAAGAGAACCAAACCATCCATCCACAACATTTTACATGCAAGATAGACCAGATCTACTAAAAAAAAGGGTTAAATTGTGATATTGATTGTTTCATTTCATTCACCACAAGCCAGCCAACAACCATTCACACATTCAATTGGAGAGTCGGCATTTATAGAAGGAACTTTCCCCTCTAGGTAAACAACAGAACCAGAACACCCATATGGAGCCATTCCAGTCCCAGTTCTGTCCAGTTCTGTAATGGGTCCAACATTCGGTGTACATGTGTACAACTTTGGTGTAACTGTGAATTTTGTACTAAGTTGATGCAGAACTCACAATTACACCAAAGTTGTACCGGTTTACACCAAAGTGGTACTATTTTACAGAACTGGATGGAACTGAACAGAAGTTCAACTGGAGAGGCCCCTAATCCACAGAACACCAGCAAAAAGATAGCTGACAATCCAGATCAAGCTTTATTGTAAGTAAAATAAGAAACATTTGTCAAACTGTACATAAATGAATGCGTTATACGTTCATGTGCTAGTATATATAGAACCACTGGAACTTATAACAGCCTAATTTCTTCACCTATTATTCAATGAAAATAGATTCTAAACTTTGGCATTAACACACAATATATACAACCCCAATAAACAACACTTGTTCAACAATTCTTGACTGCAGAAAGAATCAAAGCCACAAAGCTAAAAAGCAACTGAAATTGAGTTGACAGGACGAGTTTTTTTGTACTTGCTATGAGTTATCATAGTACAAGAGCATATTATCAGTAGGTAGCACATCAAACTTGTAAAAGAATGGTCACAAGGAGCCAGACTACAATCTACACTAAAGGAAATTGCTCCAAGAAAATAATTTAACAAAAGCCCCTCAGTGCAAAGAACAAAACAAAGGCACACGAATAAGAGACTGGAAATACCCATTATCCCTCACGGAGCGCCTTAATACTGCCCTAATCTCACCGGGCTTTCCCTCCTTTCTTTTGTCCATCTCCCGTGCCTGACAAAATTGAATATGAATAGCTTTTAAGGGGCTCCTGCAAGATAGGAAATTCCAATACCACCAAGAGAAAAGGAGAAAAGGTTGCCACCTTCCGCTTGAATCTTTCATCTAACATGCTCCTTTGAGCCTCTGTCAACTTTCCGACGAATTTCCATATGTCATCACCTAAAGAAATCAACCAGTATAAATAAGAAGTGTGTAGATACATAATGCATAACATAATGACAAGGTCAAGGTTAATCCACGTTCTTGCAGCCTACCCAGAAAATATACAACCTCAAAGTTTAAAATAAAATAAAAGAATGAAGAATAATCAGCACAAGAGTAGCAAGTGTATAGATGTCCATCTAATTAATCAGCAGAAGCATATAAAAACTCACCAAGAATCTTGTATCCAGTAGCCAAAGTAATTAAAGCAGCATTCCTAATATCACCATCTCGTTCCGATGTTAAGCTTGCAACTGATTGCAACGACTTCAGATGTCCCCAAATCTGGAAGAAAAAGAAGAAAGGACTAAGCATTCTTCAAAGCAAAACCAAAGGAACAGAAGCTTAAGATATATAATGACTTTACCTCTGAAACATGGTTTTCAAGTAAGAAACCAACAAGATCAACACACTCTATTCGAGTTCGATTATTTCTAGACCGTAAGCCCTCCTGAATATATGGAAATGTTTTTGCTGCAGAGTATGTAAGGATTATTTGCTTAATTAACTCCCGCATCTTTTCTCGTACTTGTGCTATGTTATGTCCAGACTGCAGAAAACACAAATCTATCTGAGAACATGTATCTTCCAGGGAATGAATAACGAATAATGTATCAAGAAACACCACTTGGTAGGCAGAAATAAACTCGCAGAATATAAAGCTCACAGCATACACCACAAAGTTGCTACATGGCAAGGACTAAATTCCACAGGTCAAATATACCAAAACAAAGCGCACCTAACTCCAAATGCAGTTAAGCACCCAAAAGTTACTTTTACAACCAATATTAGTAGCCTCTTTTCAAAAAAACATAGATATAAATTTTTTTACCATTTGATAGGCAGAAAAGCATGTTGGCACCACCACAAGACAGGCAAACATAATAATTTAAACATAGCAGGTCATGTGGCAAAACCTTTTCAATCAAACAGGGAAGAAAAATTGCAGCCTCTGCTTCAGTCATGATGTACCCCTCATTCTTCAACATGTCAAAAAGTTCATGAAGAAATTCCAGCACCTATTGAATAATTCTTCAAAAGTGAGTCCCAGGAGATAGGAAAAAGCAAATCATTAATGTTATGACAATATGCTTTAATTGGCAAGAAATGGGTGAAAAAACACCTTGAGCAGGCATGAAGTGTTTGACTCGCATATTCTCATAACAAACCACTTCAAGAGCACATCTAAAACTTCTATTATATCTTTTCCAATGGATGGGAGCGCCTGAAAGTTTAAAAGACAAACAGTAAGAAGGCAATCCAAACACTACATACCACAAGGTCTGACAAGTAATGCACCTTCTGCAGCATCTCAATCCCATCAACTTGCTTCTTAAAGTCTGTACTTAGAAGCCTCCTGTGCAAATCCTCTCTAAAGAACCTCATAAGGTCATTCTGTTGAATAGGAATACTAGTGAGTGCAAGCACCTTGATGACAGATAGACAATACTGAAGAAAAAACTCGTTACAGTCGGTAAATGTTTGACTACAACAAACCTCAAGATCTTGTATCTGTTCTGACCGTATCTCCTCAAACTTATATCTGCGGACAACTATTCTCTCTCTATCATCCTGTGCAAATATTGATGTCAAGAGCAGCTAAATCTTAAAATTTAGACTTCAAAAATGAATTGAGAGATACCTTGTTTGAATCCTTGACATTAAGCAAAGCCTGTGACTGGACACCAATGTCTTGAACAGACATAAGGGACTCTTGCCTTGGGCCTTTTGTTGGGATAGCTCTCTAAGGAAACCAAGAAACGGTTAATTAAATTTATATATTCCACCCTATTATGCAATTCAACTATACAGAAAACATACTGAAGAATTAGCTTTGCTTCCATGTCTAGTTGGACGATCACCATAGCCGTTTGACTTTCCGATCTTTGAGCTGCCTTTTGATGCAGCAGAAACTCTTCCAGATTCAAACGTTTCTGGGAATTAAAAATCAACAACAGAAGTAAAAGATATATCTTTGCTTAAAATTTTCCAAAATTTCTTCAAATTTCTTAAAAACAAAATAAAAGTAAAATGTACTTTTGTCTTGAAAATTCAGAAAAATAAAAGCCATAATGCAAAAGGAACCAAGAATTCTTTCCCAAATCAACATTTTGAAGTAGAAATACGCTTGAAGGAGAACACAACCAAACAAGAGGCACCTTAAAAAGCTTTTAGCTTAAAAACGCAAATATCAACAGATTCTAAGCAAATAAGAATAACTCCCATAAGGAAAGAGGTAACTGGGGAATCCACAAATCAGCAGGAAAAATATTAAAGCTATTGTATTGGAGAATACCATGAAGACCTCCATATGGCTTCAACCTTTCCAAAACAATTGCTAAAGCAGGTCCTTGTATATCTCTCAAATTCTTGCTCACCTAAATGGGATAATGTAGGAAAGGTCTAAGTGGATAAATAAATATCAATAACCCGAAAGAGCAGACAAGATTTGCAACACCAACCACTTCATGCCCACAGATCCTGAGAATTTCAGCAAAGCACGCTTCTGCTGAATGTCGAACATCAGCTGATTTATCCTACACCAAGAGAAACAAATTTTCATTGCAGTTGCACGCAGACTTAATTTTCTAAAATAAAAACATAAAGTATATTAAGGTAAATGTAAAATGCCATTAAGAAAATACCGTCATAGAAGAAGCCACAGGCTTTAGCAGCTGTGTGGCATCAGGGAAGTTAACTAACACATTCAGTTGTTTGGACAACCAATCAAAAAGATCCTTGCGACCTTCCGCACCAAGTTTAGCGTCCGTTATTGCAGTTGTAATATAAGGAATCTGAAGAAGCAACACATCAAGAACCTAGAAACAATTTTGGCAACAGAAATATCATAGAAAGCAAAAGGGAAGAACCATTTTCTCAAGATGAACAGCAGCTAGCCAAGAATCTAAAGTGCTCAAAGTGCATTCCCGCGTATGCTTTTTATTGTCACCCAGGCATTTCAAAACATCTGACAGAATCCCCTGCAAAAAACAATGTCTTCACGATATGATCATCAAAAAAGCGAGCTTGCATGAAAATCAAAATAGGACACAGCCCCAACCTTGCTTGACTTGTCTACAGCTGCTCCCATAGCAGATGCAACACCGCCAATAGTAGACAAAGTTGCTATTATTAGATTCTTGTTGCTATCATATAGCCGGCCTCTAAGAGCCCCAAATAGCTCCCCTATCAAAAATGCCAAGGAAAAAGTTATAAAATAAAATGAGCTGCTAAAGTGCAAATCAACCCCACCTCACCGTACACGGAAAAATTATTACCGGTTCCAGTTGGTTGAATACGCTTATTAGCCTCTTCAATGATTTTATTCACAGTTTCGATAGATTCAAGTCGTATCTGGAATCCGAATAAATCAATTACTACTTAATTGCATATTCCAAAAAATGGTTCAAGACAGAACTTAAGGTGTATATGTCATACCTTCCAATCTGTACTTTCCAAGCCCTTGAGCAGAACAGGTGTGATCTTACCACTAATATCTTCACGTGGAAGGCTATCTAGCCCACCACCTGAGGACGATGACATGGACTCTGCTGCCTTAACAGTTCTTTTAGGTGCTGCAGACTCCTACAAATTAGAACTCAAAGATTAACGGTTCTTATAGGTGCTGCAGATTAGACTCCTGAAGACTATAACTAAAAGATAAAATAAGGGAATGAATGTAACACGAAAGAGAACCATCCCCGAGCCAACTGTACCTCGTATGGATTTTTTTCATACTCTGCATCAAGTGCAGTGAGAAGAGCAGGTTTTACATCCGATAGAAATCCTTTAATACCTGCATGGAAGGTGCATTATATCTTCTGCAAACATTAAAAAGTTTCAATAACTTCAGAAAGCAGAAAATTTACCTGGACCGACATACTTGTGCAATGTACCAATGAGTTTAATAGTTGAATTTCTAGTGGCAGCAGTACTAGATTGTAACCCAATATCTTTACAGAAATCTATTAGATCCTGCAAAAGATGAAGAACATAAAAAGTAACTTTAGGTAACCAAAGTAAAGGAACTTCATTTCTATACTAAGGATAAGACCAAAAATCATTAGAAAGTAGACAACTTCCAAAAAGCACTACAGACCTTCAGAACCAAATGTGAGGTTCCGAAGTCATCAACTGCAGAAACCATCCACAGAATCCCTTCGCTAAGAACTTTAGGATTCTTATGCTCTTTCATGATCTTGTATAGCTGAAAAAAAAACAAATGCCAACAGTATCAGATGATGAGTAAACCCAACTGTCAAAAAATGAGTGCCAAACAGAACAGAAAGACAGTTAATAGAAGCTAAAATCTAAGAATAGAGTCTTCCCAACTTGCAAGATCAACCAGAGAACTTCACAGAAAGTAAATGATCAGTTGTGAAAGTGCTGTAGGAAAAAAATTTTCTGGCAAATCCTGTTAGATTTACTGGACAGAATAAAAGGCTTCCTACAACAAAATGCAGATTGAGAAGAACATCACCAGCTCTCATTTGTCCCTTACCATACCAATTATCATAATGTATAATACATTCAAAGTCTGAAACCAGTTATGGAAACAGGGCTTACTCTCTGGAAAACAAAGCCCGGACCAACAGCTTCACAAAAAGTAGAAAGACACTTCATTGCATGAGCTCTTGTCTTTATATCAGCAACTCTTTCACTAATACCTGTCAGCCAAAAATACATTTCCCATAACAAAACCAGATACCAAGTGTGCACATGTGTGTGTATTAGAGACTAAAATTAATTAAAAAAAGCAACTCACCTAGAAGGCATAGCATGACACATTTTTTTGGAAACTTTGAAGCAGTTGAAGCAATATGAGTAATAACCTCAATAACCTGCTGCTGAACCTGCAGTTGTCAGAGGGAAACAAGGAATCAGCTTATCCATCCGGATGGAACTCACAATAAACTTTACATTCTTATGAGACTTTAAAGAGCATAGAATAGGAGTACCTGAACATTTTTCTCGCCCCAGCCTGGAACAGCACAAAGCAAACGTACCAAAATCTCCACTGATGGATCAAGTTCTTGTATTGCTTCAACCTGTTCCTTGAAAGAGCCAATAGCTGCAATGGGAAGGGAAAAAAATTTAACTGGGTAACATCATAAATGAAGCACCATAAAGCACATACCACTACTTATAGTTCCTAACTGCTTAAAAAAACTAAATGCACTGTAACAAGTTCATAAGTTTTGACTAGAACAAGTATGAGCTTGATAGACAGGGATCAGAAAGAAACTGAAAAGCACATACTATTAAACCACTCAACTCTTAAGATTATGGTCATCATGGTCTCTATGAATATCCAGTCATTGTTGTTAGGATTCGCCCAATATTCTAAGCTCAACAAGTAAACACCACCCATAGTCACAGTGGCAGATCTGGTACCTCACAACTACACAAACCTAGCACAAAAAATGTACGACAACAGTAAATGGAGCATGGACTCTCTCTCTCTCACTCACACTCTCTCTCTCATCAATCATTAAATGATTTTACATCACAAGGTGAAAAACCTCCAAGATTGTTAACTGTGAAGTACACGCACTTCCCCTCGTTTCCAAATAACTTTCAATGTCTTAAAATCAGACATGGCAGGTCAATATATTGACAGAAGGTACAATATCTGTTCCCAGCCACTGCTCACAAGATGCTTGGTATGAAAATGAGCAATCTAAATAGACAATGGCACTGGTGACAACGGCCATTAGTAGATGAAGAATTACCAATAACCATTACAGATGCAAGTATCATTCGCTTTTGTTCTCCAAACCTCAAATATTAAACACTGCTTTCTGCTATATGAACGAACTTCAAGAATTGATTTCAAAGGGGAAACTACGTTCTTTCATTTTTTAAGGAAAAAAATAAAAAGTACCTTCCAGCCGCTCTTTCCACACAGTACTTTTCAATTGAGATGTAGTATCTGCTTGAATTAGGGAACCCAATTTCTCTTCAACTTCTTCAAGACTCATTTCAGCTGGCTGAGAATGCAACACAAGAAATTCAACAACTTTGTACAGCAATGCCAAAAAGAAACACCAGTTATGCATTCCAATTATCAAATTGCTAAAAAATAACTAGACCTCAACATCTTCAGTTTCTGCAGGCTTTGAAACTTTTGCATGCCCAGATCCATCCCCCTTTTTGTTAACACCCGATTTAGTTGATGCTGCTTTCTTATTAGCAGGCTGAAACATTGAACTTCAAGTCAAAAAATGTGCTGGAAGCAAGATAAATTTGCCAAAGGAAAAAGTAAAAACAATGCACAGTGTGTAAGTACATGATTGCAACATACAATACTTACAGCTGCCTGAACAGGTTTCTTCCCACTCAGCATGCTTGCTGCAGATTTCCTAGCAAATGATCCGTCTGAAACCTGCAAGAGACCATCAACTTACAACTGCAAATATATATATAAATATAAATATAAATACACACACAAATATATATACATGTGTGTGTACATTAAGTACATACATACATACATATATATATGTGTGTGTGTGTGTGTGTGGGGGGGGGGGGAATACTGTCCATGAGTGACTGCCAAATATGGTCTAACAGCCAAAAAGCATGCCCATGTACAAATATCCAAGTCAACTATACACAAACAGTAACAAATCTGTTTGAAACAAATGTCAACAAAAATAAAAGCTAAAAGAATTTTTGTTAAAATAAACATTATCAATTCCCTGGCTGGAACTACCCATGGTCATTTAAACTCAGAATCTTTTGTAGTTTGATTGGCTTTCCACTATCCAAAGAACTCATTCCAAAGCCTCCCAAAGGCTTCAGGTGAGTCATTAACTACCCCTATAAAACCATCTCCTTCCCAATGAGAACATATCCTATTTTTAAACTATCCGACCAAGATGTATCAAAATACAATGACAGCCTAAATAGTCCAAGGCAATTTGAATAAATCACGACTCAGTAGGCAAGAGAAACCTGATTTTATGAACCAAAATTGGAGCTCCCAAGCAGAATACATATCACATCATTAATTTCAAAAAATTTGCATATATTCGTTCGTATACATTCATACTATTTATCTCGTATAGATAGATCCTAAATGATAAAAACAAACAAGAACATCCAACAGCATCAACAAAAGGACAAAATATTCACCTCCAAGGAAGACGAACTTCCTACTGAAGCTTGAATTGCACCTGTCATAAATGCATGTTAAGACACATAACAAAGAAAAGAACTTCTGAGTGGTTTAGAACAAGCACGTTATAAACAAATGCATACAAATCAAAACAATCACTTCATACCTGAACTGGAAACTACTGCTGGACCACCTCCAGAGCCACCAATCATTTCTGTAAGCTTCTTTTTCCTGACATCATCAAGTTTTTCGAGCGACTTTTCCAAGGGTCTCATGCCCACAGACTACAAAAGAAATAATGAGAAGAGACAAATGACCGTGGCCACATTCACAGTAGACAAGCATCAAGCAGTCAATTAGCTTAACATAAAGGAATTGAATGGAACAGGAAAAATTACCTTAGCTATCGCCGTCAAAGCTGAGAAAGCGGCATCTCTAACTTCAGGTGTCCCATCTTTTAGTGACTGCAACAGCCAAATCATTTTCCAAAGGGATGGATTACAAGATAATATTGATCAAATCATCAGACATTAGCATAGGAAAGGAAAAGATGCCAGCATCATAGAAAAACCATCATTGTGGAAATGGTAACACTCTGCAACAGCATGATTAAAATCTGAAAACCATCCAATTACATACTAATATGATTCAGAACATGCATGAAAAATTTACACCCCAAAAAAATAAAGATCAACATGTTATTATGGTACAGTAACCTAAAGAATGAAATTCCAGAAATAAAGTATAACAACATCGCTCCTCGCATCAACTTGATTTTCCTTTCTTCAAGTTTTAGAAAATCTAATATTCACTTTCAAATGCAAGTCTCCAACTTGTGCCAACAAGTCAAATAGGGAAATGTAATCAAAGCATCCAAATTATTTCACAAAGCACAAAGTAGCATGAAACATTTTTCTTAAGTACTTATATACGAGAAGTGACACAAAACAACATCATATATATGGTGGTATTTTGATCAAACTGTATGCTTACCTCCATGCATATTGGCACATACTCCTTGTGTACTTTGAGGATGACAGCTTTATTGCTTGTCTCAATGCAAAATGTAACCCAGTTCAAAGTCAAAGACCGCACAAGGGGTACTTTATTCTTAACAGCAACCTTAACATCTGCAACAACAACGGTCTTTGATTAGGATAAGCCTTCAGAAGCACCAGAAATGAAACCAAGTATAAAAAACAGAGAGAGGACGAAGAAGCAAATCTGATCTTCAACCCCACCCCCAAACCATAAGAAAATAAACATACAAAAGTAAAAATTGTTTAGTTGAAATTGAATCTCATATTTCTGCTCAGTATTTCGGCAAAGGTATGTATATATATATATATATATATATGAAAAAATGATAATCCAAAATTGTATACTTGTTCAGTTGAAGTTAAATCACATCTTTCTGCAACTGATAACCAACATTAAAAAAGGGCTACCTGCACTTGCTGAGCCCACAAAAATGCAAAACTTGAGTGCAGTGCCCTTTTCCGTGCTAAGAACAAGTTCTACTCAACCCATTCAATAGTATAAGCCAATATTAATGCGTTCAAGTAATAGGTTATCCAACAGCAAGGTATGAACTTGCTTGTCTAAACTACTCATAAAGACAATCACTCATGTGACAAACATCTGCAATTCCACAAAACAAGAAAAAGAAATCCAAGCAAAAAAAGACAAGTATACATAAGCTGCACATAAAAAATCAAAATCATCATGAAAACAAACTTTCAATATTATATCAAATATTGTGGAACACATCATACACAAACATTAAATAAACCCTCGTATAGAAACAAAACCTGCCTTCAACAATATCAGCAAGATTTAAGCACCCTGATTTGTGCATTTCCTGGAGTGTTTGAGTAAGAGACTCTGCCAAAGCAGGTTTTTTCTCCTTCAGTTTTTCCTGGAAAACAAATAATGCATAAGATTAGTAATATTAAAGTCAAAACCCTAGGCCATGATGTATGGACCAAATAGACAAGAAGTTCACTAGCACGAGTGGAGACCAAAAAGACAAAACAACTTTTCTGACTAAAACTGCAATGTTTATGGTGTATTTATAAGACTGCAACCTTGCAGAAATTTTTGCTGTCCCAACATTCATTTTAATTGTCTAACACAATATTTCAAAACTCAAGTTGTAAACACCATCCTTACATGGTACTTCAACCGCAAAGTACTTTTGTGCGCAGGATATGACATGGGTGCTGTTATTTAAAAAGTATTGGGCCTGGTAAAATGTTAGTTGGGTAGATTTACTTAGATGGAGCTCTTGCACCTTACTAGTCCTAACAGAAACCCACTTTACAACATAGGATTAATGAGCATAAACATAGGAACTGTGATAGCGTAACTGTCAAGTATGGCAGGCTAACTCCCAGGTATTTTAGCCTCAGTTAATCAAATACCTATTTCAGCTATATAAACCAAAAAAGAGATTCTTCTATTATATAACTTCAACAAAATAAACAGACATACTTTAATATGTGTACCTAAACATTTGGCTGCATTCCCATACCAGATGCAAGACCATCTATTTCAGGATCAATTTATCCAGACAAAAAGGACTATAATTAAAATGTTGTAACATAAGAACATTTTTCCACTAAAACTACAAAGGTTGCTTAGATGATTGAACAAGCAAACCCTGACAGTTCACCATGCAAGTTCTAGTATCATAGGATGAAAATTACCAGCAAAACAGGCAAAAGAAGGCGAGAGTTCCCTGAAAAATGTGTTCTTAATCCACTTGCAAGATTTCCAATTGCTTGGACAGCTTCCACTGCAACAGCTATGTTTACATCTGTAATGAGCTGCAAAGTCCCCAATAAAAGTCACTACTCCAACTATGAGAAGAAAAGAAGGTTAGCCTTGGAATTTATAATACAAAAAGCAAGTAAAATGCACCCACCCATCCTTTTATTTTAGTTAGACAAAAATAGATGCCCTTAATATTCACATAAGAACTTAAGCTACCCATAAATTGTCAAATTTACAGAAAACAATTAACTATATTCTTCTTTTGACAAGTATATGTGGCAGAGGAAACTGAAGAACCAGAAACCAGTAAGTAACATAATGGATGCTCCACCCTACAATTATTAACTCCCTGCCACCAACTCGCTCCAATTATGAGGCTAGAATGAGTCTAATTTTAATGCTTTCACCACATGCGGAACCAAAATGAATTTTTAATCTCACAGTGAACAAATATCAGACTGGTAACCTATGTAATTTACCAAAGAAACTCAATATCATTCCTCCTCTGCATGGCAAGAGCATTAATGGTTACATGGCTGAGTTTAGAAGCCAGGCACAAGTTTTTATTACAAAAGGTCCAGTAAAATCTTAAGGGTCTAGTCCAAAGAATACATGTACAGCTTCATATCGCAGCCACAGGGCACGTTAACATCCGCCCATTTTTGGTTCTAAAACTCAGTTATAAGGCAACACAGTGCACCAGAAAATTAAAACTGAAGCAAATTAACCAGATTTCTATATCCTAAACTCTCGACTCAACTTGAAAGCCAATGCTACAAACAATACAACACCTTCAAAGCAATGGATTTTTCAAATAGATAACCAATAAGAATCATGAAAAATTGCTAAACTTGATGATTACACAACTTACATGGACAACAACAGGTATTTGTTTTGTCATTCGCCTGTCAGTTAATAAACTGTAACTAGATAAATCAAAACAGCAATCTACAATTGCAAATCAACAAGCTACTCCATTCCTGTATGTTGAACAACAACCAGCTAATAACTCATGTCTCAACACCTTTTCACCATTGTCAGTCACATTAACTCGTGTTCCACATTCAACAGTCCTTTTCCTCAATCAGCCACTTTCAGAATGCTACACCTTCCTATTACTAACCGAATACCCCAAATTTCTGAACTATGTTTGACATGAAAGTAATCATTAGGTCCCCATAATGTTCAACATTTTGGGAAGTCCAACCTCCAAAACACAGAAAAGAAAGTGGTTGAATGGCTGACTTTGCAATTCTATCATAACAAATTTAACCACATGTGCATGTGGATGCTTAGAACAACAATACAAACTTTGTGACCAGACAAGTCGGACCAATGTGAATTGAAATTTAAAAATAACTCTAGAGTGTGCTTCGCACACATAAGCAGCCAGTGTGCTTCGCTCTCCTATTAAGTACTGTTTGAATATCTTATCAGTATAAAGTTGATAACTTTCCAATGGTAAAACAAAAATTTGAATAACGCTATAAGTTGGAAAGTGAACAAAGGTTAAAACTTATGGTAAGATGACTAAACAACCAAAAGAGGAAAGTAGGGCTATATCGATGTGGCCAAGGGGGACTAACCAATTCTACCTCTTTCTAATTGCGTCATACCCTTCAATCAATTCCAAAGAGTCCTACAGTCGATTTCAAACAACTGGAAGTAAAAAGTGACCGTTGGTTGCATAACTAATACACCACCTAGTCAACTTCAACTAGCGGTTTTAGCAGTCTAGTACCCTTTTTTTCAAGGATTATAGCAGGCTAAAATTACAAAGCCAGAACGGAACAAGCAAAAACTAGACACGAACCAAGGGCAGAGGCAGCTGTTTATAGCAATTCACCCTGATAACTAATATAATGAAAACATTGCAGTTGCAGCACAAGTAAGAGTTAACATGATAAGATAAGACAAATTCAAGCTTCTGATTGTTCATTAGGAGAACACCAGAACTTCAGGTGTCCAGATTTCAACAATTAAACACAAAGGCACCAAATAAATAAAACAAGGCAGGAAAAATCTCTCAAAAAGGACAGCAGACAGGTGAGAAATTGGAGCTTTTTGTCTCCAGCAAAAGGGTGTATAAACCAAGCAGAAGACTTGCAAACCTTCTTAAGTGTCCGGCATATCTCTGTGAAATCACCAGGAGCTATCCTTTTGGTAGATGCAAGCTTGGTTAACTCTGCAACAGCTTCTTTCCGCTCTGACCACTTTGCAGCTTTCTGAAATATCAAGACGGACAAACAAAAAGTTACCTTCCATCCTACATAAATTAGCCCAATAATGAGATGATAAAAGATGCTTAAGTAAAAATCACAACAGTAATAACGATTCGTGTGTTTATATGAGAGAGTGAGTGGAGCACTAACCACTCCATCCCAAAAACCAGACTTCTCCAGGGGCGTCAATATATCAACGGGATCAACAAGTTCATACTCATCTATCTCCTGATGAACTGACAAGAAAAGATTGTCAGGCCCAGGCAGGGAGGTCAAAGGATATATGACTCTACTTGAGCATGCCTTGAAAGACAAATCACCATTTGAATGCCAGTTCAAGCCATTGCTTTTCTTCAAATTCAGTACCAATAATTAATGTGACAAAAAACAGAAGAAGAATCCATTTGGCAGAGTTAGTCGCATACCTTCAGCTGCAGCTTCTTCAGATGGCCCAGAAATCACAGCCTCAGAAGCAGCTTCATGTTCTGGCTCCTTGTCTTGCTCAGATCTGACAAATGTCAATCAAAAAGTTACCATCAGAAAAGGAAAAACCACTCATCCTATGCAAATTGAATAGTCATCAGCATGCACAGCCTTCATTCACAGACTATAGCAAAATAAACTTCAAAAAAGTAATGTGCTAAAATCGTGTGGTTTGATACACAATGCACATAAGCTGGGGAAGTTTTTAAGGATTGGTAAAGTTCTATTCTATTTTCATTATTTTCAAAGATGGGGGCTGGAGGTATTCGCATGAAATGATGAAATCCACCATAGAATGTATTATCCCCAGCACAATGGCATGAGAAAGCAACATACATGGAAACAAACGAACACAAACATATATCTGTCAGCAAATATTAACATGGCCTGAAGATTTAAATCAATAAACATATATAGGCCCCAATAACATTTATCTTCAATCATGCACTACAACAGAAAGGAACAAAAACCTTAGAAGCCCCCATCCACCATGGCAAAGAAGAATCAAAGGGTTACATGAGCTTCTCTACAGTCAATAATAAAGATTTAAGGTATATCAACGTATAAATCAATAGTTCCTACAAGTATTAAAAATGGTATGACAACTCTGGTCAACAGTCAACACTGAAAGCCTAGTGCCAGTTTAACAAGGCTGCATCGAAAAATCAATCTTTGTGAACATAAAATGCAGATGACTATAAAAGTAACTACAGTACGAAGAGTCAAAACAAAAAGGATTCATATGACACATTTTCTCGTCTCCACTGGGGCTATAAATGAAGTACTTTCATGAACTTCTATGAGGTTAAAAGAGGATTGATTTCAAAAAGAAACAGTACCTTATTTTGCGGGTTGGCTTAGCTGTCCCTGTCACATTGACAAGCTCTGCTTCCAACTCTTTTTTCTTAAAATGTTACAGAAAATACACCATAAATACAAAGAGCTAAAAATCAGCATAGAAAACATACAAAAAGATCTATTAAAGAATAACATACCATTGTGTCACGCATCTTCTCAAGTAAAATTGATTTAACGGCATCTTTACCAATCCAACGACAAAGCTCCAATGTTAGTCCTTTGGACGATGCACGTACGTTTTGATCTTGATGATCAAATAGTTCAGGAAGCATCTTCAATATTCTCTTTGGTGGCACAATCTTAGAGCCAAATTCACTATTAATAATTCAGCAAAACGTTATTACTTTCAATGGCATGAAAACCTAAATTATTGTCAAGTCAAACAAAATTAACTCAAGGACCATGATTTATGTACCTTAAGGCCTGAAACATGACATCTATTGCGGGAACAACAGCTTTAGCAACTTTATTTTTTATTGCTTTCTCCATGGCATCCTACAAAGAACAAAATATTCATCAAGCATTATACATGCATTCACTTCATTAATGTGCAAAACATGCAAAAGGACACTTGCATAATCCAAACCAGAGACTTCCCTCACATGAACTCCATGTTATTACCCAGGAAAAATGATATCTAAACAAAACAACAAAAATGTAGAAAGATCCAACAAAAGCCATGTTCCATTTACTGCCATCAAATCGCTTAAATGATCCATAAGACTCGATTAGTTTTCCAAAAGGGCAAACTCCAACTGACCAGTGTTTCTGAAAGCTCATAACAAGATCACTGAGTACCTTTGGCCTTCAAATTGTTTTTTATTACAACCATCAACCATAATGCTCCTTGAACAGACCACCCTATTTGCCATATGATTATCAGCAGATCTGCAAATTCATTTTCTTAAACATCTCAAATGACCAGCAAATCCATATATCCATTTCTCCTAATCCTTACAAAAAACATTATTATTTTTTATAATAAATCTGCTTCCTTGGAGGTGCCAATAATGTCTTCCAATCCACTGGAAATACCCTATTCCCGTTCACATATTCCCAGCATAAGTCCCTCCATAATTATTTCAATTCTTCAAGCAACAAAAGATGGATTAGTTGCAATACACAGAAATTAAGTTTCCAAGGCTCAATCTCTACACAGTACTTTCATGGCTTAGCTCTTCATCAGATCCAAAAAAAAAAGAGCAACTGCAATCACTTGGATGGTGATAAATACTGCAGGAAAACAGGAACATATCTCCCATTTGTACCTCTATCTTCAGGCCCCTCCCTGCCCTTAATTCCAAAAAAAAGGACCATCAATACATCATCATAAGCCTTCTGTGTCAAGGTTAAACAAACTCTCTCATTATCCTTCTCGAACTTTGTTCGGATAGTTAATTAGTGTTAAAGTAACATTTAAGTTTTCCTCTTTCAGCCCCTTCAGAAAGCATTTTGCCTTTTCAACTTATCTACTGAGTTTCAAACTCTTGCATCACCTTTGTACGTGCACCAAAATTCACAAGTTTACAGTATTTGTACCCTGAAACCACCTTTTAATGAATTAACAAGATAGTAAAGCTTTAGTTACAAAACAATAAACCTAAAGAATGCAGCTAAAGTTACTTTGAAACCTATTTCAGCACCAACAATATGTTCCATCAAATGACTATGCAATTGATGAAGTGTGACTAGATAACTAGGATTTATCAAAGACATGGTATATTCCAGAAAGCAGCTTCTAGCTTTTCGATGTCCTTGCCCATTGTGTTGAAGGTCCTCTTTTTACTCTCTCCAGAAAATACAAAATCACAGCTGCAGAGTGTCTTCAATTTCAGACTTCTTCTTTCGACCATAGAGGATCCAGTGCATCTTGTCATATTCCATCGCACAGCCCATTACACTCCACAAGTACCTAGAAAGTTTCCCACAACTCAACAACCATCTAAGTATGCAAATGGTATATCTTCATTGTTCAACCTAGTTAGTAGCCATTTCCAGGGAGTCAGCTCTTATTCTCAGCTCTTTATTAAGTTCCTACCAGTTAGGATGCCTTTATGGGAAAGTTAATTACTCTACTAGATGCAATAGTGTCCTATATCAGCTTACATAACAACTCGTTTGCTGCTTTGCGTCTTAAATTGGTATATTGACCCAGTTCAGAGTGTCTACTGGCTATTGACAATGGATGTACTTCTCTTTCCAAAAGAAAGATAATATCTATCCACCTTGCCTAGAATCTTTCTTCGTTCATAGCAATATAGCCAAATGCTCTTCTTATCCAAAGATTTAAAATTTGCATTCTGCATAACCTTAATTAAACCAGCAGTTCAAAGCACAAACTATTGCAAAGATTCACCCTTCATATTTCATCCTTGTAATAGCATCCGGTTTTCTGTCATAGCACTTCCCTCTTTGAGCATTATACATCTTCCAGGAAAACTGTTTTCTCATTCTCCTTCGGTTAGCCTTAGCACTCTAGATCTTGCTTCCAACTTGTCTGTCCAACCCTTACTATGTCCATTCTCAAATTCCAACAACTTTCTCCTTTTGACTTCATCATTCAAATGTTTCAGCTTCTCGACAAAGCAGCAACTAAGATGCCCAACCACCACTACCAACAACAAGCACGTACCCATCAGTGCAACATCTTTGCTCCAGCCATACCTTCAAAAATCAAGAACACCTCTTTCTCTAATTCCACAACAATGTAGTTGAAGTAGAGTGTGGTGAAAGCCAGATTTGAGGAATATCTGGTGTAAGCATTTGGATGTAACTATTCCTATTCACTGAAAGAGAATATCTATATTTAAGTTTTGATGTCAGACTAAACACGCCTGCAACAACTGATTGACCAGCAAAAAGTGTAGATAAAACAACTGTAACTATCAACTAGCAACTGTGAGTGCGCCCAATGGGCCATTGACTTCTCTCACAAAGGCCAGATAAATCTCAGTCAGTCCCGCATCCATTCAAAAATTGTTGCTTCATCAGAACCAAATCCATAATCCAAGAGCATATTCCAATCAGTCCTGAACTTAATTTCATTTCTACCTACCCAAAGTAGGCCAATACAACGCTTATACAATATTTCTTCTTTTCCAGTTGACAAAAGATTTCAAGGAAAGTGCAAAAAGTAATGCTACAAACACAAGCTTACTCATATTCACAAATTTGCTGATCATTGTGGAAATAATGCAAGTGAATCCCTATGTGAAGGGACCAACGATGGATTAAGTTATTGCTTTCTCTCATTTGCCAAAATATTCCGTGACATAATGTCCATACTTCCAGTTTATGAATAGTAAGCTCTTCATATCTTGAATTTGACAATGCAAGGCACTATCTTTTACTTAACTTGAATACTCACAATACAGAACCTAGTATATAATTATGATATCAAAATACAAAATCAATAACAGTAACCAGCAAAAGAGTGGAAGATCAACATATGGACCACAATGAAACAAAGAAGCCAAGGAAATTCTTTGGCATACACAAGTCTGCCTTGCCCCTATTCATGTTACTGTTAAACCACAGAGATATTATCAGTCTGTGCATCACCAAAATATCTACTCATAACAGCCTGAATTAACATTTATAATATAGAAGTACTCATAATTTTACGAAATAACATGCCAACATGGCATGTCATGCATGGGATTCTTCTTTATCACTAATTCAGAGAAGATGAATTGGGAAAACGCTATTCATCCACTCTAAAATTCAGCTATTCTACTCAGTGATTCACATTGAGTAGAATATATATAACAATTACAGCTCTGTAGCACATGTTTGAAGGTTCTGGTACTGCAGTTTTTTGCAAATATCAACACTGCTGGGTAGGTTCAGTTTGTATGCTTATTCATATAAGTTGGTCCAAAATTTCCATAACAGAAAGGATTTCAGGAAAAGGAGAGCATATATATAAAAAACTTGAGTGCTCATTCCCAGGTCAAAGATAGTCGAACACACTACAACTAAATCAAAAACACCCATAACGTGAAAAACAATTTACATAGACAGCAATGTTGAAAATTATAGCTTTTGCCAGCTGCAAGCCTCTAACCCACGTTACAGAAATCAAAACAAATTATGAATCAGGAAACTCCCTAAAATGACATCTATGAAGCATATATACCAGCTAAGGATCAACCAAGCATTAAGATATGATGAATGTTCCATGACTAGTAAGTTCACTTTAGCACAGCACAAGCACAATGAACATCACACGTTGTATTGCCAACCACATACTATTTAAAGTAAAAGATAAAAACACTAATAAAATAAATTAAACAGGAAATCAGAATGAATACCAAGAATTGCTCAACAGCTTCCAACTCCACCCACAGCATAAATGCCGTTTGTGACTTCTCCACCGTCTTTGGCCTTCCCGTCATGCATTTTGCCACTATCACGTCACATACTTCTTTTGCATATCTACCAGAAAATACATACACATACACACAACATTCAAGATAACAGAATTAAGCTTGTTACAACCAGAACTAAAATTCACGGAAAGAAAATTAAAATTACCTCGCAGCATCAGCATCAGCAGCTTTTAAGAAGGCAATTAGGGCATCTAACGCCTTCTCTTGTACCGGCGCATTCGAGTCCGCAACAGTCTTTTTAAAAAATGGTCCTATAAAAATGTCCAAACACAAAATCGAATTACTTTGCAACAATTCAGCAAAAGTGAGATCCAACTGAAGAATAATCACCCACATTACACATATTCAAACAGGGATCGACGAAGCTAAGATCGCACAACAACAAATCAGATCTGAGAAAATGAAATGAAAGCCCTAACTCACCGAATTCCCGGAGGCGCGGGTCCTTAGGATCGGAAATGGAGTCGCAGACGGCAGCCAAGTCGATGTTAGCATCGTTCCTCACCTTCCAATTCTTATGCATTAACCTATCTTCCCATGGCAGTTTCTTCGCCTCCTTCAACAACTTCTCATCCTCCGACATTGCTCCTATTTGTATCTATCTATCTATCTCCACCACCAACAATACACTGTGTTCTCCTACGAGCGTATCAGACTATACATACAAAAACATCTACTACTCTATCCCTGTATCGGGCCGCCAATAAAGCTTTTTCCGACGACTGAAAAACAGAACGGAATCGAAAATGCTGGAGACGGCGTCGTTATTCCCGTGTTTAGGTGTAAATTTGAATTTTTTTTGTTTTCATCTGTTTTTTTCTTTTTTTTGTTTTCTTCTCAGCCGAAAGGGCCGGCGAGGGCAGAATTTTGAGAGAGTGTGCGTGTGTGTGAGAGAGAGAGAGTGTGTGTGTCACAGTATCTGTGATCTCTCTTTTATCTTTCACGTTTCAAAAGAACAGAGAGACAGTGGGCTAATTTTGAGTTTTACGCTTTGGGAGGAACAAATACCAATCTCATAAAAGCACGTGATGACACGCACTAATTTGCGCTCGACGAGTGTAATAATTGTACTGGGATTTTGGCGGCGTGGAGGTTTGTGAAGGGTGGAGAAGCGTGGGGAGATTAATTTGGATCTGTTGGGGTTGAGCGGTGCAATTTGAAGGAGGGGACTACTGTGGGGTCCAGAAGGGGGAGCGGAGAGAAGACAGAGTACTTGTAAAGAATTTGGAATTCAAAATTAAAGAGTAGTTAATTAAGTAGGTAGCTATCAGGTGTCCTGTAATCCAGCGTAGGAACCTGTATGGCCGATTTTGAATGTTTTGATTTGAAGAAAGTAGCTGGGGGTTTTCCGCGGGAGAGAACATTGATTGGTTTATGATTCGAGAGCAGTTGGGAGACTGATGTGGGTGAGTGCAGGGAATCTGTCATTAAGGTCTTAATCGTTACGTTGCCGGCGGGCTTGTAGTCATGGATGATTAAAACGGCTACATGTCCAATGTTGGTGGGCCTACACTTCTCCACAAATCAACCCAGGGACAATTATGAGTGGGTATGAGTCGGGTATCCGTCCTATATTTTAATTGATTGATTCGATTCGCACCTTGTAGGTTAATCTTTTTCCTGCAATAATAGATGTCTTATAACCTAATCTAACCTAATTTAGGAGAAAGGGAGATGGTCAACTAAAACCAACCACATATAGTAATAAATTAGTGGGAGGCAGGGGTTGAACCCTGACCTCCAGCATCACCAAATATGGTGATGACCACTGGACCAAATAGCCAGTGACCGCACCTTATAGGTTAATCATTTTCTAACCCTTACATGTCCTGTATGTCTTATACATATATAAAATAGGAATGGCTTGTGAACAGTGACTCATGGTCCGATTATATCGTTATTTTTGTGAGCTTGAGCGGTGTTATGGTCTTTTGATGCCGGATGGGAGTGGTTTTGCTGGAAATTCACCGCTCTCCACGTGTTGTTCTTGAACAGCAACAAGTTTAGCGGTGAATTGAGATACGATGCAAGAACCACAGCTCGAAAGCTTTGCAATTTCTATTACAGTCTTTTTTTAGCCTGCTCTACTAGTCCTTTTTTTACCTCGTCATCTTTCAATTTGATTGCCTCCTCCACTGCGTCTTCATCCATAATTGACTTTTTAAGTGTTCTAGAAAGAATGGGGAAATTCATGGTGGCTGATTAAGTCTAGGAATGAGCAAGTGACTTGGTAGGTGTTATTTGCAAGAGCTGGTTAATTTTTGCTGGTTTTGACAGTGGTGTGGTTTTATCTGGGGATGTGTTGAAATGTTGCAGTGGATTTTAGGATTTTTCATCAGTATTTAGGTGTTCTGCAGGTGTTTATGTGAGCCTTGCTCTGTTTTGTTGGTTTGCATGAATGACTGATGTGTAACTAAGAAAGCTCAGCAGCGAATATATGAGGACGAGCTGCTAATTGTGTTGGGTAAGGTGAGTTGTAGTCTTCTTTTGGCTTTTGTTTTTGTGTTTTATGATGCCAACAAGTAACTTGCTAAGACACGACCTGGAGGACATGCGGCAATTCCGTGGCAAAACACTGATAAACTCTACTTCCCACTCTTCCCCTTCCTTCTCTCTACTGTCTTCTATCTAAATCCCCTAGCAAATGCAAAATCGGATCTTTGATTCTCCTATGAGTGGCAGAGTTTGAAGTACCAACCTCATCAGTTTTGTTTGCCATATACCCACCTTATATCCATCTCCTTCACCAAGGGCAATTTGGTTTTGTTGATTCAATCCCTTTTTATTTTTCATATACCTGTCTTATATCCATTTCCCTCCACCAAGGCCAATTTGATTTTACTGATTCAATCCCTTTCTCTGCATCCTATGAGACTTAATGCCTATCAGTCTCAGTTTTGGGACTCTCTCCTAATCTCCGGTACTTTGAACTGATCTTATGCTAGATATGAGGTATAATTGGTCTTGTATTATTTTGCTATTGTTGATTGTCATGCATGTGTGTTCTTCAATCATGTTGAAGTTTATATGAATTAGAATCTGGCTGGTATTTTGTATGTTGTACTTCGGATTCTTTCCTTTCAATTCTCGTGGAGCCTGAGCATTGGATTATGCTTTGTTTATCTCACGGATATTTCTGAACTGGGATTGGTTTTTGGTGGCAAATTTGCATTTACTACTCATTACTATTCATTAGTTGCAAATTTTCTACTCATGCAGATTACTACTCATGACTGCTCATTGGGTGCAAATTGGATGTTTGATGTTCGTATATAAGTCATGCTTTCTCTTTTTTAGTTGCTTTACTTTTGTATCATAGTTATGCTTTTGACTTCTATATCATTGATCTAAGCTTAGCAATGTTTCTGATGTAAGATAAGTCAAAGATATCTATTGTACTAAGCCATGTCTCAAGCATTTGAAGCTTCCCCAATAGATGGTTTTAGGTAATAAATAATTGAATTTTTTTGCTAAATTGTGTCTATTGCGATGTTAGGTTTGTCTGTTTCAAAGTTCTGTTTCATTTAGTTTAAGTTTATACTGCTGATAAGGATCTTTAGAGTGGCTTGTTATCTCTATGTGATTAGATTGTGTCTTACTTTATTGAGATTGATTCTATTGCGTGTTATTCCTTTGGGATATTTCCAATTGATTGAATGTCTCTATGGTGATTATCAGCCCACGTAGTAGTGCTTTAGCATGAAGCAGTGAAGACTATCTCAGTTTGGGACTCTCTCAATCTGCTGCATTTCCTCATGTTAATTGGCAAAAAAGGGCTAGATAGATCTTGGCAAAATTGAGTGCACAATCCATAGCATCCAAGATTAGATAAATATGTTACTCCCTGAATTGTATCACCCTGAAAAAAAAAGAGATAGCTACTACCAATATGAAAAAAACAAAAACACAATAAAACTTACGAAAACAAGTCTAAGAAACCCTTACAGAAGCATCAGCAAAAAACAACTCGGAAAAACATTCAACTAGAATTGCGAGGTCGCTGAAATATACTTTTTTCCATGACAATTAACTTAGCAATCCATCCCCGAATTCGATCACTCAATCCGCAAACACTAACACACTGCGACTCCATCCAACTAAAAAAAAAACACACTTTGCAAATAAAATTACTGCCTAACAAACCAAAAATATATCACACATATTCACTCCCAAAAACAATGATCCTCTTATGTAGTAGCGGGAAATTGGCCACGTACAAAGAAAATCAGCACTACTTGGCAATCCTTTCCTGACATAATCAACGCATGAAATACAAGTAGCAATTCTACTCGGGTAAATTAGAAACTAGATACTGCAAAGGCATGCAAACAACATCTGGCTAACACCAATGCAAACCACCGCCACGACCTAACCTTTTCCTGCTGGCTTTTCCTGTCAGTTGAATAACTCTTTCTGCCCTCCAATTTTTCAATCTCATACTCATTCTAATAAAATACCAGGTCCTAACTACCTGACGCATAGCGTCAGGGCAGAGTACCTAGTTAGTAAGTATCTGATTATCGAATAGCTGCCGAAAGAGGGTCGAGTCAACCGGACCTACCTCGCCAGCCCCACCTTGCCTTGCTGATCATTTAATCTTTTTTATTATGTATGCTAATTTAATTTTGTACTTTACATAATCATCTAAAACTCAACAAAGATTTTTTTCTCAGAAAAATCTCCTACCAATAAACAAACATGCAAAGAGATCACAAGAAAAAGGAAAAAAATTCAAAAGAATTCAACTTAATGAAAATTTGAAATAAGTGGTACTTTTTTTTAAATATATCTTCCACATTTATTAAAATATTTTTTGAAAAATATAAAATCATAACCTTTACAAATGAATTTTAGAAACAAACTATAACCTCTCATATTTGTAGTATAATTTGTTCAATAAAATATTTTTGTAGTATATGTATAAAAAATATATATATATGTGCGGGGCGGATAGGATACCTATGGGTTCTCAATCTTGTGACCTTAACCAGTTTTACATATAAGTAGATATCCAACCCTCTTTTAACGATCAAATAATACACGTCAGATACCCTACTTTTCATACCAAATTAGATCGGATATTACAAGTTTTCTGAATCAGCGTGCATATTTGCCAACCCAGACGCATCTCTACAAGAAGAATGGTCAGTGGGCCAGCTGGGCCGAAAAAATTAGGCCGAACCTCATATTTAACTGCATGGGTACAATTTGGGCATAAAAATGAGGACTGATTATATTTTAAGCTGAGCTTGGACGTCATTGACCTCAGTTGAATTAAAGCTTGCCCTGAATAATTTTGTACATAAATAAATATGTATGTTATTTCTATAATGAAGTATACAATACATAATTGTACATATAATAACATAAAAATTTATTTTAAGTTTTGTAATTGACCTACCTCTTCAATCTCACCTTCATACCAATCTCTTATTCTTCTAACTAGTTTGTGGTAGAGTCAAGAATTTGAAATAGGGGGACGAAACTAAGCATGAGATTCAAGATTAACGAGCTCAACATTGTTTTAATAGGTCTCTTTTAAAGAAAGAATAAATTTTTTCTTCACCATAGTCACTAGATTCTCAAATCTCAATAAGTTACTAGCATAATTAATTACATGTAATTTTCGGCCGCGCCTTCAATCACCCCTACCGGTAAATTAAGCTTCCCACTAGGTTCATTACATTAAAAGGGAATCTACATTATTCGCTTGACCAAAGTTGGCATTGTAACATTTTTATTGACATAATAAATCAAGCTACTCAATTTGAGATTTCTTTTCTATTAGGTTCAAGATTTGAATACTGTGTCTAACAATTGGAGATAAGAAGGATACAAAAAGGGTTGGGATGGTAAAACAAAAAGGGTTGGGATGGTAAAACAAAAGGTTAAAAAAATAAAAGTTTTATCAGTTTGAGAAGTTTCCCTTTTAACTTTAGAAGTTGTCACCATTAATATTCCTTATTTCTCTATAGGGCTCAAAATTTGAGTATACATTTTGTCAGATAATGCTTGTACCTTATGTCCAAGAACTTATAACCCTAAGCTTTACTCACAGAATTAAATAACCATTTTTTTTTCTTTCTAACCGGTTTCTTTTCCCAACAAAGGGATTAACGTACTTTTGCAGATAATAACTTTGATTTCTTGAATTGTTAGCAGTTTTTCGTTTTCTCTAGATTTTCATGTCAATAAAATTCATAATTTGCTAACCACCATGTACAAAATACACCTTAAGAAAGAATTTTTTTTTTTTTTTTATAAAGATTGTAACAATATGGTCCATATGAAATTGAAGCATTGCTAGACTGCTTTACTATAATGTAGAGAAATCCATATATAAGTTTATTTTTTTCTTAGAAATTACCATACAAGTGTCCTGATGTACAAGTCATTTCCATTCCTTGTATAGTAATTTTCTCCCCATCATATATCTCCATTCACCAACTTCCCGGTGCCAATGCGGGCGCCAATGCATCACCAGCAGGGATTTCTCTGAAGGAAGTGAGTATCCTAAGATTCTCCCATTCTCTGTCAAAAACAGCAACCTCACAGTAAAGGGGAGCATCTGCTGCCTTCGCCAAGATAACAAGATTGTAGTTAACGCCCGTAACTCCTGGAGCAACTTGTCGCTCTCCTTTGATCACTTTTCGAAACTGGAAACGGGTAGAGGATACAGCATTGCGCCAACTTATTGCAAATTTTGCAATCTCTATTACATGAGGGTCGTTTACATTAATCGGGTTCCTGCCTACTTCGACTGGTCTGTAGGCTTCTGAGAAAGGGAAGACCACCGGTAGTACTAGGATTGTGAGGAGGAGAGGGTGAAGATTAAGAGCCATTTTTGGTGTGTTTTCTGGATATGTGGTAGGAGAATTATGTTCCAATTTTATAGGATGTCTGCAAATGAAGGTTTGTGCTTACCTTTATATCTGGTACTTGTGATCCAATATAAGCCTTTAATTTAACGTATCTAGACGGGGTTGAGTTAAAAATCCACATTAAACAGCACTTGAGAAAATTGAGTAGTAATGGATGGTTTTTATGAGATGTGGATATACGTTATGCTGTTTAATGAGCTATTAAATGTTTTTTCTTCAGTTACTCACAATAAATTTCTTATGAATAGAATTTACATTGGGAATGCTTGCACATTTGTCCTCGCATTATTTTTTAGCACCTCGCATGCAAAATTTTCATGCAATTGATCCTCGCATATTTGAAGAGAAACAATTTGGTCCTGAATGATATGCATACATATCTTTGTTGGAGAAGAAGAGGTACATTTTCATTATTAGACCTCAACTTACTAGCCTGTGATGGGAGTGGGACCAATTCAGGCAAGAAAAAAAAAGTGGTTCTAAATTAAATTTGAACAAACAACTTAAGCTGTGTTTGGACATTGTGAGTTTTCAAGTAACTTATTAAAATACATTGACAATGAAACTTGTTTGAAATCAAGTCCAGAAGCAACTATCACAACGCAGCCTAACTTGTGTATTGAACATTTTGAGGATGAAGGTAGATGAAAAATCTGTGAGCAACTAAAAAAAAGTGCAATGTAGGGGACTAGTTGTGCATTTTCTTTCATTTGTTTCCCTTAGTTGTCCATTTAGTACTTTCGTCCATTGTTTCTAAGTTCTTGTTTGTGTTATCTTTCACCAAGTAATGAAATTTAAAGCATTTTATTATGGTTATCATGTGTGGTTAGCACAGATACTTTTATTATGCTTTCTTGCATTTATACAGTAAGTTAATTTAATTTTACGTTTCCAAAAGAACAATTACTCATGTCTTACTTAACTAATGTTATGAGGATTGGTGACAAGCCAAAACTTCAAATCTCTCTCCCTCTCTCAGTTCTTCTTCTTCTTTTTCTTCTTTTTTACCGGTTTATTTATGAGTCCATACCTCAGCCTTGCAATCTATGAGTGCCTTTACCTGATCAAGAAGTAAAGGAATTAATAGAAGCTACTCCTGAGTGCCTTTGCCTGATCGGGAAGATGGCACTTATTGGGCTGCTCATGCTTCTGCTAATTTCACTATTAAATCTGCTCTCAAGTGGTCGAGGGGATCACATAGTAAAGTGTCATGTATAGGTGGCAAACAAATCCATTTAATTAAATTTATGTATACTCGTCCATGAATAGATGGATATGAGTATCTTAAATTTGCTCAAGTGATCAAGGGGATCACAAAGTATAAGTTTTTGCGTATGGGTATAAATGGGTATTTAAATGGGTTATCTAATAATACTCATTTATAACCCACCAAATTTAATTAACTCATTTAGAATTATCTTCCCCCAGACCTCCTCTTTTTCCCCCACCTATTTAGAAGAAATTTGAGGCTTGTGTTTGATTATTGAACTCATTGTTGGAGACTTTCATGCATTAATATTGCTAAACCCTTGTATATAGTGAAATATTTTATTTTTCAGCTTTAACAGACATTTGATGCATTTTTGACGCAGATAGATATCCTTCTTAATTTTTTTTTAGAATTTTCATTTTGTCATGATGTTAACTACTTTTGTTTCATTATTATTATTATTTGTTGATTTTATCTTATGATTTTATTTTCTCGTAGTTTGTTAACTTACTCAATTTTCAGCATTACCAATTTATGACAAGTTTTAACCACTTTTCCTAACTTTCTAAAATGAAAATTTAAATTTACACGTGAAAAAATACTAGGGGTCCAAAATTTTTGGATTAAGTTTTTATGTTAACTTTCATAGTACTTAGTTCAAATTTTTATATTCTTATTGTTCAATTATTAAATAGTATGTAATTTGCGACATAGAGAACGGATGGGAAAAATTGGTAATTAGGTTTATTGAGTATTATAAATAAATATTTAAAACTAATGATGGGTGCAAAGGTTGATATAAATTGATAATTTAGTTTGCAAAAATGAATTTAACTGAGTTTACAAAAAATTAAAATAAAGGGGTTATAAATGGGTAATTGGGTTACCCAACTCATTTTTTGACTTACCTATTTAATTAAATGGGTATAAATGAATTGACTCACTTATACCCATTACCTATTTCAACTTACCGAAATCCGTCCAAATCACCCATTTTGACACTTCTAGTGTCCTGGTATCCTTTAGTTTGGAAAAGAATGTAGAACTCAAAAAATTCACTAAAAATATATAGAAGATATATTTCATAAAATTAATATATATATATATATATATATATATGGGGAGGTAATTTACATACATATAAATATATGTGAGAGAAGAGGAATAATACCGCCGATAATCTATTAATCAGATCATAAGAATAAGACTTTCAATCATTCACTCTTCTCAACTAAACACACTTATTTATAGATTAGACGCCTCCTAATGAGATATTAATTTTTAAACAATAAAACTACTATAACTTGACTCTAGTAGAATTGCTAAAACCCTAACTTGATTAAAACACTACTAAATAATAACATGAAAATTTCTAATTTTGAACCTTGATTTAATATGCCAACAAAGAAGCTGTGTTCCTCGGCTTTCTTTCATTTTATGGCCGTTATACAAGAAACGACTAAATACATTTGATATGCTGCGCAGAGATGGGGTATAGTTTTGCAGGACAGTAACGGCTTGTTTTGCTTGCAAGCTGAAGAGTCCATATAACATCTTTTCTTTCAATGCAAAGCCACGCATGGCATTTGGGAGAAAGTGCAGGCTATGTTCCTAACTTTCAGAGGGAACTATTTGTTAGATGACGTTGGAAAAGTTCATCGTTGGAAATCTACCTCCTTTGCTGACGGACTCAAACGTTTGCTTTTTACAGCGACAGCTTATAAAATCTGCCAGAGTCAAAATGCAGCAAACACTCTATATGGCATTTTGGCAGTCATAGTGGATGAGGTTCAGCATGCAGTACACAGATGGAATAAGGTACCTATGACTAAGCAGAGTTGGGACCTGGCTTTGGAATGGGAATTATTATTTCAATGCTTTAGCTACGTAAATAGTTGGTGGTTTTTTTTTATTTATGTAAATGAGGTTTTTTCTTTCTTTTTTCCTCTTGTACAAACTTTATTGCACTTACATCCACAAAATTTTTTTTTTCCAAATAGCTATGACAGGTTCAATACTCTTGTTCAACCAAGTCGCTTAAGACTCGATCAAACTTCTAAAATTTACTTTCAAATTCCAAATACACGAATACTTACAGTTGCTTATCTCTATTTCTAAATTACTTGAGCTCCACAAGAATATTCAAAATCATCAGTAATTAAGGTTTAGGGGACAAATGGTTTAGAATGTGGAAAAGATACATGAAAAAGATGCATGGCCAAGTAAGTTCTTGAATACATGCTCATTACTCAGGAAAAGAACTCGGTTAAAAGAAAATCTTAAGTAAATTAAAAATCAAATGGGGATTAAAGATACAAATCACCTAAAATAGGATAAAAAATGGGAATTAAAGAAACTTGTTCTCCCTCTTGTTGATTGAAAGCTTGCCAACCAATAGATAAACTGCATCTGTGAAGGCTTAATTTCATGACTTGCTGCAAGATACTATATTAATCAAATATTTATTTAAAGTACTTAGCTCTTTGGAACAAGTGGGGAGAACACATGAGTGAAAACTAATCAACTGTTGGATCTTCTTGTTAATGTCGCAGATCTATGAGGCTGCCGAAGGTACGTTCGGTATATGGCACGCAATATACAACGTGCCAAGGAATCAGGGAAGCTAGGTACTTCTTTACCAGCTGATCAACTTGTAGGGTGGATCTATGGAGGTTATGGCTAGCTTGTAATCGTTCAGATTGAAGCCTTGTACTCTGGCCATGCATGAATGTGGTATGAAGATCTTGAAATTTGAGAAGCATGAAACTTAAGAAGGAAAGCTTCATCTGGAATATTTTCAAGTACTCTCAAAGTCTCAGCCTATGAATTAGACAACCAAATATATTAGCTCCAAACTTAATATACAGTCGTCATCATTGCTATTCTTGTCCCTCTTCACCTTCTCCATCCTGCCAGCAGAAATGTTGAAAAATGAAAACTAGGCGGCAAAATGGATAATTTTAGCCTCTGATTTTGTTTTTGAAAATGAGAAACAATTGAGAACAGAAAAATTAATGCAATATTTTGGAATCAGAAAATAAGATTGTTATTCAAAATCATTTGAGAATTGGACCATGCCATAGTTTCTAAATTTTTGGAGGGAGGCCTTCCTCAATATGTACCCTTGAATTCTGATAAATTAAGGTTCACCCACACTTACTATATTTTATACTTTTATATGAGAACATTTGCCTATTGTAATGAGTAAATTGCCCAACTGACTCCTAAACTATTACTTTTATATAGTTTTGACCCCTAAACTACTATGTATTGATCAAACTCTTAGACAAGTTAATGTGTAAGCTTTCAGCTTTGCTATCAATTTCTATTTTTTGAGCTAATGGAATGGAAGGACAGTTCCTCCATAAAAAAATGATGGGACGATGAGCTTTTGGCTCTTTTTCCTTCTCTTTCATGTTGGTTTGCCTACCCTTTAGCCTTAACTTTTATAAGATTTAGTAAGAATGACAAGAAATATGGTAGGACGATCCTTTTACTCATCTTCTCGCAGTTTGTTTTTTGTGAAGCGACAATTTTGTCCCTGCATTTCATTATGTCAAATAGTAAAAATTGACAAAATAGTCAAAAACTTACAGATTAACTTGTTTAAGAGCTTAAATGATATATAATATAGTGTAAGGGTTAAAAGTATAAGTAAATTTTATATATACTGAAATTTTAGACACTATTATGGTTGGATGTATAACACATTTACAAAACTTGAGTTTCAAATTAAAATTTGAATTATGTGTCATGTATCCAATGATTAAAATGTATAGAAAATTAATCTTAAAAGTATACGGGTTGACTAGACAATTTACTCTTTTGTATTGATATAGCATGGGTAACAACATATTACATATCTCAGCAAGGAATTTTGAATAAGCAATAACAAGCTGATCAAGTTACTTTGCTGGATTTTTGGAGGTTATGACTTGTAAACTAAGGTCACAGTAACGTAGCATACTAGCATGCATGTTCCCGCCATGCATGGACTGAGAAGATTGGACTTTGGAGAAGTAAGACGAATTAATTTAAGGATATGTGTATATAGTCATTAACGGCTTAACGGCATTGACAAGCAAGAAAATTATGAAGAAAACTTCATCTAAAAGCCAGTTAATCTCAACTAACGAGGATTACAATAGTTTAATTACGGCCAACTATGAATGCCTGCATATCAAAATCTCAGCTTATGAATTTAGACCACTATAAATAGAGCTCCGAACTCCAGTAGTTGTCAAGAATTACACTTTCAAATCATGGCTTCTCTTACACCTCTCACCAGCATCAATGCCACCTATCCTTCCTCCACCTGTTCCAGCATGGATTATTCCCCTTTCAGGGTGAATTCTTAGTTTATAATGAAAAAAAAAAGTCATTCTACAACTGGGGCGGTTTTTGCAGGTTTTTCTACAAATGGGGTGTTCGCATTCCGGGAATGCGAGGTCACTGCAGTGAGCTTTCCGTGAAATTTCTTTTTCTTTTCCTTTTCAACTACCAAACAAATAACATGCACTTCATAAAAATAACTTATATAATTTTTTAAAATAACATTGCGTTATGAAATTTCTAAAATTACAGTTGAAATTGTAACAGATATTAATGACTATTAACTATTACATTCTTATAACTAATATTCATCGGTGTCAACAAATAAATACGATTCATTAATAACAAAGGAAAATTAGAATTTGATAAAAAAAATTTATTTCATAAAAAAGGAAAAAAAGTTAGTATTTTTTTCATAAAATATAGTCAACACCTTACATGTTAACAATTTCATTCTATTTTTACATTGATATATGAAATAGATAGAAAAAACTATGCATGTGTACTTTTTCCACCATTTAAATGTATTATAATAACCGTACAATTACCAATTTTTTTTAATATAAAAGAAATATGATTTTTTTTAGAGCACATATTTGATGACTTTAGGCACGTGCAAGTTTTAAAATAAAAAAAATTTATTCCTCTGCTAATTACAGATTTTTAAATAACATTTCTCTAACATTTTTCCGAAATATAAGATTTTAGTAGAGCTTTTAAAATAAGATTTTACTACCGATAGCATTTTAGTAAAGGCAAATTCTACAAAACAAACAACATTTACAGTTAATTTTACATTTTTTTGGGAGCTCGTAAATTTCATTTTAAATTTTTTTTCTAGCAAGTTTGAATTTAATTTTCTGAAAGTCATACTTATAAATGCGAAATCTAACAAAAAAATTAAATACCATTTTTGGAGGTCAAATTTACCAAATGCGAGCTATTTGAAGAATTTAAAAAAAAAACATTTAGGAGCTCGCATTTAGCTCTTACTATTTTCTGGAAAAAATTCTCTAGCTCCCAAAAAAAAAGCAAAAAAAATTAAATTATACTTAAGCTCGCATTCGTGGAATGCGAGCTCAATAAATAGAGCGGAATGCGAGCTCAATAGAGCTGTGCTCAATAAGTAGAGCTCGCATTCCGGGAATGCGAGTTCAATAGAGCTGAGCTCGGAATGCGAAGACCCCCCTACGGAATATCCCACCAAAATCACCCCTTTTGTAGAATTTTTTTAAAATTCATCACAAAATTGGAAATTTCTCTCCCCTTTCATAACTAACATTTTGAAAAACCCCTCAATAAGCAAAAAGCGCAATCCTTACCTTCTTAGGCTGTCTTGCCATGCCAGAGATGATGAACAAAACCAACTAAACAATTCAAAAGCCGAGGATCCTTCCCTTGGGAAGTTCGATCGTAGAAATGTTCTTATTGGTTTAGGAGGACTATATGGTGCAGCCTGTACTTTTGTTACTAAGGTTCCGTTTGATAAAACTGAATCTGAATTCTGAAGTCTGAATTCTGAAATCTGAATACTGAAATAATTAATTTACTGAATTTTAAGCACTGAAAAAAATATATGAATGTCTGAATTTTAATGCTAAACCTATTTATGCTGTTTGATAAATATTTATAGCTGAATGCTTAATAAGTTTAATTTGACAATTTTGCCCTTATATCCTTTCATTCAAAAAAGAAATAGAATCTATGATTTAATTAGTTTAAAATTGTTAGGTATGAAAATGACAATATTTATTTTTAAATCAAATTAATATAAAAGATGAAATATATTATATGAGGAGTATGGAGAAGATGTGAAAGTCATTAAAAAGGGAGAAAAGAGAAACTAAAAATTGTTAGATAGAGAATATTATGTTGTTTAATTAGATAAGAATTTTGAACATAATTAACAAACAAGGGTAGATTTGGTAGATAAGATAAGGTAGTTGAAGTAATTCTATTGATTCTTATCAGAATTAAGCATTCAGTTAGGATTCCTGTGCTGAAAAAAATACACACAGGTTCAGCACTGCTTAACAAGTTCAGCAAATAGATTTTCATTTATCAAACACTCAAAACATCCGAATGTCTGAAAAAATTCAGATTCAGCACTTTTTTATGTTATCAAACAGACCCTAAACCTTTTGTCTATGCGGCACCGATATCAGCACCTGATATTACTCAATGCGGTGCAGCAAAATTGCCCAGTGGAGCCACACCAACCAATTGTTGCCCTCCACTCCCCACAAACATAGTCGATTTCAAGCTTCCTCCAACATCTACTAACCTGCGTGTTAGGCCTGCTGCTCACCTAGTCGACGGCGAATACATAGCGAAGTTTGCAGACGCCATACAACGGATGAAAGCCCTTCCTGACGATGATCCAAGAAGTTTCAATCAACAAGCCAAGGTACATTGTGCCTACTGTGATGGTGCTTATAATCAAGTTGGATTTCCAAATCTTGAACTTCAAGTACACAACTCATGGCTCTTCTTCCCATTTCATCGGTGTTACTTATACTTCTTCGAGAAAATCTTGGGAAGCCTCATTAATGATCCAAATTTCGCCATACCATTTTGGAACTGGGACAATTCTGATGGGATGCAATTACCTGGATTCTATTCTGACCCTGATTCTCCACTCTATGATAGTCTTCGCGACACCAATCATCAGCCACCAACAATAATTGACTTGAACTACAATGGCTTTGACACTTCTATGGATGATCAATTACAAGTGTCTCAAAACTTGATAACCATGTACAGACAAATGATGGTGAATTCCAGGACTGCCAGGCTCTTTTTTGGCAGCCCTTATCGGGCTGGTGATGATCCTGACCCCGGAGCCGGTTCGCTTGAGAACATCCCTCATGGATCAGTTCATGTATGGACTGGCGACAGAAATCAACCTAATGGGGAGGATATGGGGAACTTTTACTCGGCTGCTCGAGACCCCATGTTCTATGCTCATCACTCCAATCTGGATAGGCTATGGAATGTATGGAAAACTCTTGGAGGAAGGCGGCAAGATATCACAGATCCTGATTGGATTGATGCATCATTTCTCTTCTACGATGAAAATGCTGAAATGGTCCGCGTAAAAGTTCGCGACTGTTTGGACACCACCAAGCTTGGTTATACATATCAAGCCGTGGATAATCCATGGTTGAATTCTCTTCCTACCCCTCGTCTAACCAGAGTTTCGAGGAAGATAAAGAAGCTTGGGGTGGCAAATGCAGCGGACACGCAAATGGATAAAGATGTCTTCCCAGTAAGGCTAGAGAAGGCAGTGAAGGTTATGGTTAAGAGGCCAAAGACGAAGAGGAAAAAGAAGGTGAAAGAGGAGAAAGAGGAAGTTTTGATTATTGAAAAGATTGAAGTGGAGAGGGATGTATTTGCCAAGTTTGACGTGTTTATTAATGACGAGGACGCCATCAAGAGCGGGCCGGACAAGACTGAATTTGCCGGGAGCTTTTTGAACGTTCCACATAGGCATAATCATGGGAAGAAGATCAAGACTGAAGTGAAGTTGGTCATAACAGAGATTTTGGAAGATTTGGATGCTGAAGAAGATGATCATGTGTTGGTAACTTTAATTCCACGTAGCGGTTGTGATGCTTTGACAATAGGTGGTATCAAGATTGTTGTGCTTTGAATAATTAATAGCTGCGAAGAAATGTGTATTAATATTCTGAATTATGTGATTCTACTGTATTGAATAACAACGTTTCTGACCAGCCTCGTTCCGTGAGTATTTTTTCTTTAATGGAGTTGAAATTGCGCCTTTACTTTCACTTAGTCAAAGGGCATTTTTTCTCCTTTTCGTAAGCAACAAGTGACGGATATGAATTTTGAGAAAAGAGTATACTTAAACATCACGAAATTGCTCAAATAAGCTTCCATTAGAAAATGTTGTCAGCATTTTACTGCTTTGAGAAAGTAATTCTCTTTTCAGCTCTTTCTACAAACAACTAAGCTCCAATTCTAAAAATATTTTTAAAAAAATCATAAACAAGCCGAATATTGCCAAGAACAATTCTGACATCGGTTTTTTGTTTTTTACGTTGTCATAATACTTCCCAAAAAACAAGAAAAAAGAACTTCATTCAGTTTTTGAGGATCTTTATATTTGCCCTCCACCTAATTGAAAAAACTTGCATGGCACCGTATTGAGATTCAAATAGTGAATGGCCGGAGGAAGCTAACGTGCAAATGCAAAATAAATTGATAACAATGATAGTCGTGAAGGTGAGTCTGATCCGACTCATTTGAATTAAGGGTAGGTGGAAAAGAAAAGAAAAGAGAAGAAAAAAAAAACCCAATTCAGATCAGATCTTGACTGGAGAATATAAATTAAACAAGTAGTTTCAATGCACATCCAATAAATTACTTAATTTATCTTTTAAAAGATAATATAACATATAATTCTCATTGACTACAACTTGAAAGATCTGAATAGACAGAAAACTGGTAGGGTGGTCACTGCTGGCTGTGGAAGTTTTTCCCTTTGTGCATTAATTAAACCAACAATAATCAGTCAAAAGCCATTCGATCCAAAGAATAAATTTATAAAAATACATAATTAAATCAAAACCCTTAGATGAGATACTGACGCATTACGCAATTAATTGTCATAGTTCCACTTAGCACCACATCTTGATGACAAATTTTTTCTTGTCATTAACTGTTTAAAATTGATATTATCAGACCTAGAAAAACAAAGGTTTTGGTGAAACTAATCACCGATTGTTGATATCACTAAATAAATAACTAGAGGTTTTGGTAGTCCTTACGTCAATCACCACAGTTATGTTATTATAATATCTCTTGCGTGCTTTGATTTTTTTTTTCTTTCCTTATGGTCATATATAGCAGCATACTCTGCAAGCACTAGCAGCCCGGGCTGCTTAATCACTAATTAAAATACTATGCTTATACGCAATAATAGTCAAATTAAAAGAGCCTATATGTGTCCACTTTCTACTTCTATTCCAAGAAATTAGACAGGAATCCAAAAAAAAAATAAAAATGGAGTGTTCACATTTTGTATGAATCAGATTTGTACCAAATCCGTTTTCGGTCAACAACTAGTTAAAGTAAGATCTAAAGCCAGAAGTTTCTTTGTGAACATGTACCCTGATTTTCTCACTTTTATTTCTTTTGTTTTTCTTCTTTTCCCAGATACAAAGAAAATTGGAAAAATTGGCTTAGGAAACTTCCTTTGCTAAGTTAGTTCATCCCACGTGATTTTATAGATTACTTGTTTATCTTTGTCAACTAGGGAAACCAGCCCGAGGAGAAAAGTCCCATTACAGGCTGTGCATGAATGAACCAGTATTGCTACACTAATATGCTATAAATATGGGTAGAATGACCATAAGATTACACCTCAGTTGGAACCATGGCATCTCTTTCAACTTCCACTGCCTGCACTTCTGCCACCACCCTTTCCAGTTTGCACTACTCTCCTTTCCTAGCCAAGACCTTTCACATTTCCGCGACCAAAAAACGTAACCATCATTTCAAGGTTTCTTGCCAAGCCACAAATGGAGAAAGAAATGCATCTAGGAGAAATGTACTCATCGGTTTAGGTGGGCTATATGGTGCGGCTAGTCTTGCCGCTGATCCCTTTGCCCTCGCAGCCCCAATACAAGGCCCTGATGTCTCGAAATGCGGCCCAGCCGACTTGCCCTCCGGCGCTGCACCAACCAATTGCTGCCCTCCGCCGGCAACCACCATTGTGGATTTCAAGCTTCCTGCACCATCTAATACTCTACGCGTTAGACCAGCTGCTCATCTTGTTGATGAAGCATACATAGCAAAGTTTCAGAGGGCAGTACAACTCATGAAAGCCCTTCCTGATGATGATCCCAGAAGTTTCAAACAACAGGCAAATGTTCACTGTGCTTATTGTGATGGAGCCTATGATCAAGTTGGATTCCCAAATCTTGAGCTTCAAGTTCACAACTCTTGGCTTTTCCTTCCATTTCATCGGTACTATTTGTACTTCTACGAGAGAATCTTGGGAAAGTTGATCAACGATCCAACTTTTGCCATGCCATTTTGGAACTGGGATGCTCAAGGTGGAATGCGTCTGCCTGATATATACACTGACCCTACTTCTCCACTCTATGATACTCTTCGCGACGGCAGCCACCAGCCTCCAACAATGATAGACTTGGATTTCAATGGAACCGATTCCAACATCTCTGATAGCCAGCAATTGTCCCAAAATTACACTATCATGTACCGCCAAATGGTATCGAATTCCAGGACTCCCCGGCTATTCTTTGGCAGCCCATATCGCGCCGGTGATGATCCTGATCCAGGAGCTGGTCAACTTGAAAACATCCCTCATGGACCAGTCCACGTGTGGACAGGTGACAGAACTCAGCCTAATCTAGAGGACATGGGCAACTTTTACTCGGCCGGTAGAGACCCTATTTTCTATGCTCATCATTCCAACATTGATAGAATGTGGACTTTGTGGAAAACTTTGGGTGGAAGGCGTCAGGATATCACTGACACGGATTGGCTAAACGCTTCATTCGTGTTCTATGATGAAAATGCTCAAATGGTTCGTGTAAGAGTCCGAGATTGTTTGGACACAACCAAGCTTGGGTATAGCTATCAAACTGTGGATACTCCATGGTTGAATTCTCGTCCAACGCCCCGCCTGACAAAGGTAGCGAGGAAAGTCAAGAAACTTGTGGTGGCAAATGCTGCTGACCATAGCCATTCACCTAGAGATATCTTCCCAGCAAAGCTGGACAAGATAATCAAAGTCATGGTTAAGAGGCCGAAGAAGAAGAGAAGCAAGAAGGAGAAAGACGAAAAGGAAGAAATTTTGGTGATTGAAAAGATTGAAGTGGAGAGAGATGCATTTGCCAAGTTTGACATATACATTAATGATGAAGATGATCCGAAGAGCACGCCGGAGAATACCGAGTTTGCTGGAAGCTTTGTGAATGTTCCTCATAAGCATAAGCATGGGAAGAAGATCAAGACTCATCTGAATCTGTCATTGACTGAGATTTTGGAAGATTTGGATGCTGAAGATGATGAACATGTGATGGTGACTTTGGTTCCACGAGTTGGATTTGATGCTGTGACCATTGGTGGAATCAAGATTATTCTTGATTGATTTGATTAATCACGGAGCTCATGGCTCAGCCAGGAGCCAATAAAAGCTGAAGTTTTTTTTTTTCAAGATTTTCTTAATCGTTGCCCTGGCTTGGCTTTTGATTTCTGCAGATTCGTCGATATATCCTTCATGTAATAGTTGGACTTTGTTTTTCCTGTTTTTGGCACTATTCCAGATAATAACGAATAAACCTATCTGAGGCCGTTCATGGAAGTAAACTCAAAAATGTTTGCCGATTTTTTATCTGATCGTTACCATTTGGATATCTAATTTTTCATTCTTTGTGACAGAAATTAACGGATTGGCAAGGGATAACTAGCTTCTAATTAACCCTTTTTTCCTTTACCTTTTTTTGAACAAATGAATTTCTACAAGGCTATGTATTATGAAGCACCAAAACATACAATAAATCTTTGTAAATGAAGCTTTAGTATAGTGGTGAAGCATTAAGACCAGAAATAATCAGTGAGTTCTTAATTTGTTCAAAATATCACAGTTGTGACTTGTGAGCTTGATCAAATGATTGGTTAGTGCTGTTCATCGATCTAATAATTTATGTTCTTTTTAATCAGTTAGTTTAAAATCCATCATAGTGGATTAGTTATAATATTAAAAAAATGTCAATAATCTATTAGTAATTGAGACCATTTAAATGAAGGATAATGTGCTAAAAATGGTCAAAAAATTAAGGGATCGTAGTTGGAACAAAATGGTTCATTGTCATTAATTTTTACTGTTCTTTATCTCATTAATTTTGAAAAATGTAATCATTGATTGGATTTAAATGGGATAAATCGGAGAATTTACGGTATAAAGTATGTAAAATTAAGAGTTTACAATGCAAAGTGTTCAAAATCGAAGTCTAAAATGCAAATTAAAAAGATGATATAAATTTAGAGATGCAAAGTGAAATTAATTCTAAAAACTTTGCATCCGTATAAGTTACCTTTTTTTATATTATAGCAAAACACTTGAGCTATTGCACAGCTTTGGCAAGAGCTGGAATGGCTTAACCATAGGCTGCGCCGGCCTCATCCCTATATAAGCAAAAGACACCACGCGATGCATTAAGCATGTCAGCATTTAATCACGGATATGTTTAACGAGTGCTCAAATGAAACACGTTAAAATTGATTTCAAGTACTATTAATACTTTAAAAAAATACAATTAAATAGAAAAGATATATAATTATAAAATAAGATAATAATTATTAGTACGTATACTTATAAATATAATAATTTAAGCGTGTTAACAATTCATTAATATTGCAAGACTACTTACTTGATGCAAAGGAAACACGATTGGATACCTTTCAAGTTTCAAGCATGCACTTTTGGTATTGATTCCAACTTTCAAGGTTTCCTTTTTTGCTTTTTTTTTTTCTCCCACTCTCCTGTCCATTCGTGGTCGTTGGTCCACGCTGAAAATATAGAAATTTGCAATTTGCAATTTGCAAGGCATCTACGACCTTTCAAACAGGCATATTTTACGTGCATTAATAGAATTGTCC